CCGGCCTCTATCCCCTGGAATAAAGACAGGATTCCAGGCCAAGGGAAGGCTGAGCTGAAAAGAGAGCATGTATTGTCATTAGGACGGCAGGATGGGAGGACCAAGTGGGGTCCAATCCTAAGGATGGACCCTATCTTCCCTCCCAGAATCCACTTCTGCTGGGCAGTGGCAATAATGAGGGGAAGGGAACATCTGCCGGCTATGTGATGCTCTCCAGATGGTCCACATTTGGTTTCAGTGTCTGACAACTAAAAGATCTCAGGCCTCCAAGGGCACCTAATCCAAGCTTCCATCAACTTTTAAAAGTCCTTCGGCAACCAGCAAGGGCTGACCTTCCCATGCATACCTCCTTTTATAGCATCAATGTGTCTCCCCAGAGGTTATCGGGTCCAAAACTACACAGTCTCCAAAACTGTGTGTTGATAGTATTTGTGTTTTTTGAAGGAGATTAGGATTAGATGGGGTCATGGTATTCTTCTTATTGCTGTGACTAAACACTATGACCAAGAGCAACAAAAGGAAGGAAAAGCTTTATTTAGCTTACACTTCCAGATCACAGTCCGTCATTGAAGGACATCAAGGAAAGAACTCAAAGCTGGAACCGTGGAGGAATGCTGCTTGTTGGCCCTCTAGCTTTCTTATACAGTCCGGGATCACCTGCCTAGAGAAAATCCTGCCCACAATGAGCTGAGCCCTCATTCATCAGTTAATTAGAAAGATCCTCCACAAACATCCCACAGGCAGACCTCATCTAAGCAATTCTTCCATTGAAGCTTCTGATGACTCTAAGCTGTGTCACATGAACAAGGCAAACCAGGAAAGATGGGGTCATGAGGATGGGGCCGCACCATGACATTAGCAGCTGTATAAGAAAAGAACCCTGATACCCTCTGTCATGTTATGATACGGTGTCTTAGGGTTTCTATTGCTGTGAAGAGACACCATGACTGTGGCAACTTTTGCAAAGAAAACATTTAAATGAGGTAGCAGCTTACCGTTCAGAGGTTCAGTCCATTATCATCATGGCAGGACATGGCAGTGTGCAAGCAGACATGGTTCTGGAGAGGTAGCTGCTACAAGTGGATATGCAGGCAACAGGAAGTAGACTGTCTCACTGGGCGTGACTTGAGTGTACATGAGACCTCAAAGCCCGCCTCCAGAGTGACACACATCCTCCAATAAGCCCACACCTACTCCAACAAAGCCACACCTCCCAATAGTGCCACTCCCTTTGGGTTCGCTTTCCTCAGACCACCACATACGGCAAGAAGGTCGCACCAGGCTCTGAGCAGATGCTTCCATCACGCTCTTTTGGACTTGTCAGCCTTCAGAGCTATGAGGAAATAAAGGCCTACTTACAAATCACCCACTCTTGGGCATTTTGTCATATAGAGCAGAAAGTAAACTGAGTCCAACAGAGGTAGCACAGCCACCCGTGGATGGCTCTGCCAATAAAATCTCCCCTTGTACCAGGCCTACACTGTCTCCTCAAAGCAAGTCTCATGTCATTCTCACATGGCAGCATTGCGCATACAGGGTGATGGTGGTCAACCTTGACTGTCGACTTGACCAGCCTAACGGGTGCCTAGGGAATTGCAGCGTGCATCTGTTTTCAGAGATAACTGGATCATGAGGGCTCTGACCTCATGGTCTGACCCATTAGTGGACGGTGGCAGAACTGTGGAAGTTGGAGTGTGGTCAGAGAAAGGAGGTCACTGGGGATGTGTCACTGGAAGCTATGCCTTTGGTAAGCTATGATCTGGGATCAGCATTGGGAAAGCCACTGACAGCCACCCTCAAAGTCCCTCCCCACCACAGGCACTTGATTGTGTGACTGCCACACTGCTCCCACCCCCACCCCCTTGTCCCAATGCCTCTCATGCTCTGACACCCTCCAAGAGAAGACTAGAGAAAACCCTGATCTCCACTCACTCACTAAAGCCTGGCAAGGGGATGGCCATCATCAAGCCAATCCTGCTGAATCTGGTTATTGTGAGGCAGAATGGAGAGTGACCTACCTAGCCCAGAATAGATGTGGTAGGGCTACACTGGATCTCTGCCCAGTCCCAGGTAGCGAGAGCCTGAGTGGCAGGATCTGTGAGCCAGCAGGGAGTTAGACACAGGCCTCACACTGGAGAAACACCTACTGACTTCTGCTGCTAACTATGGGAAGCTGTGCAAGGCACAGAATCTCCAAGTTCCTGACTTTCCTGCAAGGGCACTGACGATGAACCTAGCATTCCCTGAGTCCTTACGATTTGCTGAGTGCTCCTTTACTCCGGGCAGCCATTTTGCAGGACAGGTACAGCTAGAAAGCTTAGTTTCACGTGGGAAAGAGGGTGAAATGGAACCGGCGATACACACTCCCTTATTTTTCTTTTTCTGTGGTGGGGATGAAGGTGCATTTCATGGTGCATCTGTGGAGGTCAGAGGACAGTCTGTAAAGCTGGTTCTCATTCCACCTTCACATGGGTTCCCAGGACTGAACTCAGGCTGCCAGGTTTGTACAACAAGCAAGCATGTTTACTCTCTGAGCTATCTCACCACCCCTCCCTCTAAACTAACTTACTACCCTGAGAGAAGACACCTCTGTCCTCAGTGGAGATACTCAAAAGTGTCTTCTGTGTCATGGCTCTATGCCAGAGCACAAGAGCAGAGAAGCAGGCTGACCACTCCGTAGTTTAACCACAAAGGGCTCAGGGAACTAGGGCAGCTCCAAACAGCCTCAGGCACACTATCTACCCCAAAGCCACTTCTTGACAGACAGGTTCAGTCAGGCCCCCATCTGACTGCCTGGGGGAGCAACTGGAGTGTGGAGTACAGGGAAGTGAAACGGTCATGTCAAGAAAGAGAGTCCCCCAACAAGGATAGTGGTGACCCTTTCCTCCAGGCCACCTTGTGCTCAGGCTTATCTCCAATGCTGTAGCCAATGGTCCAACTGGAGCCAGTGTGGAGCCAGTTCTGTGTGCCCCACACTTGGCATCAATACCTTCTCCCCTAGGCTCCCCTTGCTCTCACACAGGAACAACCCGAGGCAGAGGATGGGAGAGCACTGCTGGAAAGTACTAGAAAACCATAGCATCTGAAGTTAGGAATGACCCGTTCCCTACCAGTAAAGTGGGGGTGGAGGGGAGTCAGGAGTGGGGGCTGTCAGGAGTGGGGGGTCGGGAGTGGGGGAGTCGGGAGTGGGGGGGTCAGGAGTGGGGGAGTCAGGAGTGTGGGGGTCAGAAGCAGCCCTCTCGTACTTGCATGTTCTCCAGCAGGGATCAGTAGCATCTGCTATTTTCACAGAGCACTATAGAGAACATGGACAGCGTGATTTTGAAGCCTTTTGAATACTGATCTGTATAACTGTAGGACCAATTCTAACTGTCATTTAAAGTTTTCTCCAGGAACAAGAGAACCCCAACTAATACAGAAGGGCAAGGTGCAAGGACTGAACTTGTCACTACACACACTCTATACCACTGAACACCCTCCCCCAACTTATTAGTGTAGCCCAGACTCAAACCCTTTCAGCTGGCTTCAGAGGTTTGTCATTTGAGCTTCCTAACTAGATTCTAAATTCCACAAGAAAAAAAGGGAAAGGACAATTGGGTTTTTTAATTTAAATATATTTATTTAGAAACAGGTTCTCACTAGGTAGCCTGACCCTCACTTTATAAACCAGGCTGGTCTCAAACTAAGAGATCTACCTGCCTCTGCCTCCTGAGTGCTGGGATTAAATAGGCATGCCACCATGCCTGGCCAAATATCATTCATTTTGGGTTTTTTTGATTTTTTTTCTATATTGGGCACTGATCCCAGGGCCACATGCATGCTAAGCAAGTAAATTATATGACACTACATCCCCTGACCCCCAAATTCCCCTTTTAAACTCTAACCCAGGAAGATTTTCCTACCCCAGCTAGAACCACAAGTTGCAGGATTCCAGGTGTTCAGACCAAGCTGCCAGGGACTGAGCCATAAGCATGGAAGAAACAGGAGCTGTTGACACTAGGGTGGTTGTGGGCAACAGAATCTGACTTTCAGGAACAGATGGTTCTAGTTCAAATCCTCGTTATTAACTCTGTGACTTGGATCTAGTTACTTAACTTCTCTGAGCTTAAACTTCCCTGTCTCTAAAATATCAGTTTCCTAAGGTTAAGATTACAAACAAGCTGGGTGTTGGTGGCACATGCCTTTAATCCCAGCACTCAGGAGGCAGAGGCAGGCAGATCTCCGTGAGTCTGAGGCCAGCCTGGTCTACAGAGCTAGTTCCAGGACAGGTTCCAAAGCAATACAGAGAAACTCTGTCTCAAAAAACAAAACAAAACAAAACAAAAAATTACAAACAAGAGCATAAGAAAGCCACAATACATGAAGTGTTGGACAGCTGTCAGCTTGATGCCTTCCTCATTTCCTTCCTCCTTCCTAAGAAGTGGCTAGGACACTGGATTAAGTTCTTTTGTTTCCAGTTGGTTTTCTTTGTGAAGGAAGGTCATGTGAGTTGATTCTCCTAGCTACTCCCATGCTATAAACCTAAAAATGTACACAGACAGTTCACCCAGAGGAGTAGGGGGGAAAACCCACTTAACCTTGCCAGCTTAAGGCTAGGGTACAGGGCACATTTTGTCTACATGGGAAAAGAAACCCAGTCTTCGGGGGAAATAACCCCATGGGTCCCCGGCCTAGCAAGTGGGAAATAGGGAAGGGGTAGAGTGAATGTGATCAAGAACGCCTAGAGGACTCACGGCAGGCTGAGAGTGCTCCGGGGGAGGGGGATGGCATTGGGGCGCTATGCTTTACCAGGGTCCCCAAGCACCTAAAGGTCTCTGAGCCTTGCTTTTGTCACCATGAAAATGGAGCAGACCACACCTGCACCAAGCTCCATACTATTGGATAATTAAATCAGATACCCAGGGAGATAGTCCATGAAGAGTCATCGTCCCCATTTCCCTACCCCTCAGGAGGAAGGACACAAAGGCCTCCAAAGAGACCAACACATTCACAGGACTGCCTTGTAGAAAACAGACTTGCAGAGATTTAATAGATGCAAAAAAACACAGGATTGATCGTATCACACGAGCTGCTCTCAAGACACACAGAGTAGAACAAATAACAAAATGGACTTTTTTCTGTGTGTGGTCGGCTGATGACTAAAAAATATCTCAGAGGGTAAAAAGCCACCTGGTTCTTAGTGTCTTATTCTATGGCAAAGAAATGAGCAGTAAAGCGTGAGAGTGGGTTTCTTTCTGTGGGTTACAGGGGTAAAGGCAGCCCACAGCTTCTCAAGACAAGAAAAATGAGGGTGTTTTGTTTAAACAATGAGACAGATGCTGAGAACATCGCCTGCAGAGCCCGCTGGGGGACATGGGGCTGTAGAGGCCGTGCCAGAAGCAGCAACTAGCCAAGACAGTCCCTGGCAGTACCAGGTACTAGTCAGCCCCTCCACCGAGCTCTGGGAGGGGCTGACAGTTGGACTGGGGCAGGGGAGGCTCAGGTAGAAGAACAGATGGAAATGGGCCACACAGATACTCAGGGATGTTGTAGGAAGAGAAACATCAAGAAGAGCAGAAGCCATCCCCGTCTTTATGGCTTTCTTTTTGGCTTCCTGGAGAGATGGGTGTTTGAGACCTGAGAGCAAGGGAGGGCATCCTAAGGGAGGGAAGGCTGCTCGCCCTGAGGAGAGCCCAGTGCTGGCTGAGGGAAAGAGGCAGAACATCTGGGGCCTCTAACAGCTCCAGCAGGACTCAGGCAGCTGAGCCCAAACCTGAGATAGTCAGAAGAAGACATCAAAAAGGAAAAAAATACAAAAAGAGAGGGATGTGATCCTTACAGGGCTGAGGTATCAAAAGACAGCTGTAGGCACAGCACTGCCAAGTTCCAGGGCATAGCCATGCTACAGAGCTGTCTTAAACAAAGGACCACACTTTCCACCGCCATGAGAGCCCTCAGCAGAGCTTGAAGGGCAGAAACCCAGCCTCCAAGGAGACTTCCTAGGACTCCCAAGGCAGTTGCTTTGATTGAAGGTGACCACATTCCTGAAGTCCTCCACAGCCACTTGGATGAAGAAGTTTGCACATGTCCGCTCAGGACAGTTCATGGGTGAAGCATGTGTAGTTGTTTACAGTCATGCCGTGCTTTCCACCTACCTAACTGCTGGTTCTCCCAAGTCCTGGGTGGAGCACTCAGTGGAGGACATGCCTGATCAGAGGGAAATAAAGTGTCCGTGGCTCCTCAGGCACTTTGGTGTAGAGGAGGAGGCCACAGCCCTGGCCCCCGACAGAGCTCAATAGTGAAACACATTCAGTCTGTTGTGCTCATCCAGGCCCAGCTGCAGTAAGTTCGAAGTGGTTGTTGATTTGGGCACCGAGGAGAAGAGCTGTCTGGCCACAAAGTAAAGGAAAACTGGATAGCTAAGCATGTTCAGGTGAGTGCTAAGAAAGGGTCAAAGGCCCAACAGGGTGTTCCTCAAACATCAGAGGCCTGTGGCAGAGCACAGCCAGTCAGCAGCTAGAACAGGAAGGGACGAAGGTTTGGGGACCAGTTAAAAGGATACACCTTGGGGTCATTCCTGAAATGTTCTAGCCACTTCCGGTTAGACTCGATCATGCTCTGGACACTGACACTGTCCATCTTGGGGACTCGAGAATGGGAGTGCTGCATGAGGTGGAGCTGCTCACTGGGGAAGAGAAGGGGATTGGGAGCGTTAGGAGAGGAAGAAAGCAGGCAGGAAGCAGGCAGAGCCAAGCATCTCCTCCCTCTTCCTCTCACTGGTCCACCAGCATCCCTGTGCAGCCTCCAGCAATTCAAAGGTCCTCCTCTGGTGAGGCAAGCATCAGTTCCCCAAAGGGGCGGTAGTGGCTCCCCTCCACCCCTTTTCTGGGAACCTATTGCAGAATCTACTCGGTAGGACCTTTACATGTTAGTCATCAGCCAATCTCAGCAAGAAACTTCCTCTGTTATCTCGGATACTTTCGCAGCAGCAGCTCTCAGACTGGCCCAGAGAGCAGACATGGCTGCGGGACTTACAGTTATGGCTGGGGGTGGGGACAAGAGGATATTTGGCAGGGAATAAGATGAATAGGAAATTAATAACAGGGTTAAATAATAGCCTGTCCATCTCCCTATGGGGCATCCTGCTTACTCCAGATGTTACTCAGCAGGCATTGGAGAAGAGGAGGCCATAGGAATCAGACAGAGAGCTCAATGGCAAAGACAGGCCAGACTCCAGGGTTTGTGGGGCCACAGGAAGAGCAGAGTCTCACCTCAGGCTCATGGACAGCAGTGTACAACATCTGTCCAGCTAGTCGGACACGCCCTTCCCCACACCCACTGAACTAAGCAGCAGGGATTTGACTGTTCACTTGCTCAGACGAAGGCCAGATATAGATGACTCTGGACTGGGGACCTGCTAAGGTCACAGGACCATGAGGTCTACCCCCACCTGTCCCTGGTGCCATCTGTCCAGAGAGGTACAGTGGAGCTCTTGACTGTGAGGCTTACCTTACAGACACATAGCCCAGCCTGTTCTCCAGTGGGGGAGGGCAGCTGCTGAGCAATGGAATGCCAGCTGGAACAGCAAGGAGTTCAAGGGCAGCAGTCAGTCAGCTGAACCAGCCCAGCCCCAGCCCCAGCCCAGCCCCAGCCCTGGCCCAGCCCCGGCCCGGCCCGGCCCAGCCCAGCCCCAGCCCAGCCCAGCCCCAGCCCAGCCCCAGCCCAGCCCAGCCCAGCCCAGCCCAGCCCCAGCCCAGCCCAGCCCAGCCCCAGCCCAGCCCCAGCCCAGCCCCAGCCCAGCCCCAGCCCAGCCCCAGCCCCAGCCCAGCCCCAGCCCCAGCCCAGCCCCAGCCCCAGCCCCAGCCCAGCCCAGCCCAGCCCAGCCCCAGCCCCAGCCCCAGCCCCAGCCCCAGCCCAGCCCAGCCCAGCCCAGCCCAGCCCCAGCCCCAGCCCCAGCCCCAGCCCCAGCCCCAGCCCAGCCCCAGTGGGCCACTTCTACATTCACTACCTATACCTCCCGAAGTCCCAGAAAAAAAATGTCTCCAAAACAAACAATGGCAGGGAAAGGCTCGCACTGAAGGTGAGAGACGGGTGACAGACAAGAACTGTCCTATCTATTTTGATTCTAAACATCTAATTTTCAATTTGAGCTGGGGCAGAAAATGTTTTTACATTTTTTCCTTGTTCCTCAACAAGGAATGGACTAGAGGGGGAGCCTGTTCCCAGAGCAGGAGCCAGGACCAAGGGGCCACAAGTAGAGTCCACACCTGGTTTGTGACTAACTCCCTCACAGAGCCCTCTGGAGCCTATTACTAAACCTCACTGAGTCTCAACTTATTTCCTATAAAATGGGAAAAATAATTACTTCCACCTAAGAGAACTACAATTCGGACTTGAGAGTGTGTGTGTGTGTGTGTGTGTGTGCGCGCGCGTGTGTGCGTGCATGTGTAAATGCCGTGGTGTACTTTAGTATTGGCAGACAATGGGATGACAACAATGGCTTTTTTAGATTTGGCCTAGCTCTAGCATTGCCAATAAAAGCTCCACACAGTACAAGCTCAGTGTAAAGCATCCCAACACAGAGCCTCAGGCTGTGAGGCTGTAAGGCCACAGCAGGGTCTACCTTCACCTGGGCCCCACTGACATAGGCAAAGGAAAAGGAAAGGGTGGTTATGAGAGAGAACATAGGGTAAAGGAGAGTCATGGGAAGGCTCCGCCCAGAAACCAGGTGTACATGGGAGTAGGTACCTACACGGAAAATACTTGCGCCACTTCTCCAGCAGGAAATCATCCACAGTTTGCGAGGAGGAGAGCTGGGTTCCCTGTCCTGGGTCCCAGGCCCACTGAGTGGACGTGGGTGTGGCAGACCATGAGGATGAGGGCTTGGTCAGGAGGGAGTGGGCAGGGGCAGGGGTGTTCTTGGAGGACCGAAGAGAGGAGGTGAGGAGCGGAGGTGGAGGCTGACTGCTAAGGACCTGTGGTGGTAGCTGGGAGTTGAGGCTGCCCAGCACGTTCAGCACACCATTTAGTTCACTGCTGATCCGCTGAAGGGAACTGCTCAGGTAATGGATCTTGTTGGAATCAGCAGAACTTGGGGTCGGGGTGACTGCAAGAGGCAGATGGTGGGTAAGGATTCAGGATCTAGCTGACACTTGAGTATCCTATGGCTGCAGATTGTATGGGAGGACAAATGATGGATGCAGGGCTTCTGTGTCCCAGATGAGAGGCCCAAGGACATAGACAAAAGGAAAAGCAAGGTCCTTGCCTCAACCACAGGCCCGAGCAGCCGAGGCGGGGGGGGGGGGGGAGTTGGGGGGGTGGCTGCAGGAGACCTGGAGAGAGGAGACCGCGGGGATCCTTGGCTCATTCATCCCTCCACGGTGCAGATCCACCATGAGGATGGACCTCATCCAGATACAGGCTCAAAGCAGGGCTTGGGGGAGGGGACTGGAGTGGCCCCTGCTATGTTCCCTCTCCTCAACACTGGGCTTCACTCCACCCCTTCCCGCTGGCTTCCTTGTACACCGCTACTCACTATGAGGCAAGGGGCAGGACTCAGAGCTCTCACTACTCAAGTCTTCCATGTCACTGAGATCAAAGGTCACCTTCTTGATGGAGGATCCTTTCAGAGTGTCCTCATCAGAGACCTGACAGGTAGAAGTGGCCATTAGCACTGTCCCTTCCCTGTGTTTTCACTCTGCCTGCCTTGTGGTAAAGACTAAGACCTGATGAGGTAGCTCTTCTGGGGTCTAAGGTTGTATAGGCAACCCAGGAGAGGCACACCAAAAAGTCTGCCTCAGGAGAGAGGCTAAGCTAAGAGAACCCAACCACCTGTGAAGCAGTCCATAAGGTCCCCCAAGACCAGAGGATCCCCATCATCTACCCCCAAAACTAGCCTTGTGGTCTCCCTATTTGAGTATTCCTGCTCCCAAGCTGAAACCTGGGGCATGAAGGAGATTCTGCACAGCCTGAGGGAAGGAAGAGACACCCCTGATGCCACACTTGGTCACACCTCTGCTAGAACCATGCAGGAAGAACAGGGCTAGTCCCCAGTTCTGTGCAGATGCTCCAAGGATGCCCTAAATCAGCACAGACATCAACCACTCAGATGTCTCCACAGGGCCATTGCCTCTGCTATCTCAGCCAAGGGCCTGAGCACTAGAGACCCCTTCTCCCTGATCCAGGCCTGAAGGAATCAAGGCTCTAGGAGTAGAGGAGGGAGGGAGAAAGGGGCCACAGGGTGACACCTCTTCCTGTAGAGAAGATTCCAGTTGGTTCAGCTTCTCCTCTTTCTTCTTCAGTAGCTCATGGCCTTTCCTCATGGCTGACTTCATCTCATCCAGGTGCTTGGTCTCCTGTGGCCAGGAAGGAAGGGGAGGGAAAATGCTAGAGTCCTGCTCTGGTATTTGCTGGCTGGGTGGTCTCAAACACATCCCTAACCCTGAGTCCGGCTGCTCATCTGAGAGAACGGCTACTTTCCCTCAGACCCTGAGAACTAACAGGACCATGTGTTATGTGAGGAACACCATACCATAGACGCTAAGGTCTCAAGCTGTGAACCGAGTGGTCACCGTCACTCTGCTAGCCATTACTAGTACTCTTGCCACCAACGAAAGGAACCAATCACAGCAGTAAAAGTGCCCAGGGACAGAATGGACACACCCTGAGGAGCCCATCCTTGTGTTTACAAGCCTCTTGCTATCTGCTGCCCACAAGCTGGGCACTCGGGCTTGTGTCCCTCACCAGTTCTGGCACCATCAGAATTATAGAGGTTCAGACGTGATCCAAGGGAACCCATGCTACTGAGGCCTCGACTGGAACAAAAATCTGCAACATCATGTGATGACAGCATCTCTGTCCTTTCATTGCAAATCAGACTATCAGAGAAGCCAGCCAGGGGAGCTACTCGACCTTACACTGAGTGCATCCAAAGATCTTCTGTCTCCAGTGTACCAGAGCAGCAGAGAAGAGCACTGGACTTGAAATATTTTAGATATTGGTCGTACCTTTCACCTAGGACATGGCAATGGCAATACAGGTTGAACATCCCATTTCTAAACTACTTGGATCTCAGAAATACCTGAGATTTTGTAGTTTTCAGATTTGGGAATATCTGCATAGACTTTACTGCTTCAATTGACTTGGGGGTTAGGGACACTTAACCTATATACCTCACTCATTAAAGATGAGTACTATGAAGATAAAACAATTTATTATTAGAGAAAGTGTTTACACATAATGTATGGCCACGATGAGGCAGGTGATCCCAGGACCCATGTGGCCCATTTCAGAGTTCCCAAAATGCTCAACTGAGGAAAGCTAGCACCCTCAAACCTCCTAATATAGGCTGGTAGGCCCTCCTCTAGGCTCCTAACCTCATCTAAGTTCGTGCGCACATTTTCCAAGATCTTGGTGCCTGGGAGGTCTTCATCCACCTCCTGGGCAGTAGCCAGCTCATGGCGCCAATGCTGCTGGGCAGCTTTCAGTGCTGTCTGTCGCCTCCGCATGGAGCGTGTCTGGCGCACCAGGAACTCCTTCGCACTCCGGACAGCTACACCCTCAGCAGAGAGGAAGTGCCGGACACTGTGGGGCAGCAGGGAGCAAGGAAGGAAAACTGAAGACACTGAGCCACAGGGCCGCTTCTTCAGCACATGTCCACCTGAACATGCACACAGGAGCTACTGGACTGGGGCTGGGGTATCACTGATGAATACCCAGAGAGTGTGGCACATGGGACCAATACCTCACACACTCTGCGGATCGTGCCTGGAGCCTGTACTCAGATAACTAGGCACTCCTAGTGGTCTGACCTCCAACTAGAGGCCAGCAGGTGCTGACATGCTGTGTTAAAGGTCACAAATTGTAGGATATTAGCTTAGTAGAGACTATTGTTCCATCCCTGGGTCAGGCCTTGAACCAAGCCCCATTGGTGGTCATTGCCGTCTCAGCTCTGATATAAGCACTTACTCACGGCGCAAGATGGGCCAGGGAAACTCACCTGTCCATGGATAGGTTCATCTCCTCCTTGCTCTGGGAGAGAGAAGAGGATACCTCTTGGATCTCATTCTGCAAACACATAATAGAAAATGCCAGCTGAGTGCAGCAAAAGCAAACACCCCACAGGCTAAAGAAATCCTGAAGCCCCTCCAGGTGTCTTAGCCAAAGAAACAGCTCTGCCAGCCCCCAGGTGCTCTTTTCATATAGTTACCATCTGAGTGGTAGAGAAGATGGAGAAGAGAATAAGAACGAGGCTAGATCCTAAATAAAGCAGAGCCAAGTTCCTCCCCAAATGTCCCACCTCTCCACCTCCCACTCACAGCCCCTCCCATCACTCCCAGGCCTCAGCCTGGAGCTCACTGTGCCAAGGGATTTCCTCAGGTCCTCAATGTGGAGATCTGGCTCCAAATGTGGGGATGTGTTATTCTCAGCTTCCAGCTCTTTCAACATGTCATGCTTCCTTTGTACTTCAGCCTCTAGGCTACTGTGGTGAGGAAGACAGCAGAAGGCAGGGCTGTGAGACCAGGACACTCACTCCCACTCCCACAGGGCAGGGCTGGGTGTGAACACCAGAACCCAGAATCCTCTCTTTCTTATAGCCTCGGCACTCCATTCTCTATGAAGTGCAGCAGAAATGTACTGGCTGTTTCTGTCTGGTTCCAAGCTGGGCCTCTCCCTGTGGAGATCCATGATGAGACAGGCCCGAAAGCAACAGAGGGTAGAGGGCTGGGGGATCAGGGCACCACTGGCTGGAGCAGAGTGCTCACACTTCCTACCGTGCTCTGCAGCTGGAGCAGCATGCTCACACTACCTCACGTGCTCTGCAGCTGGAGCAGCATGCTCACACTACCTCACGTGCTCTGCAGCTGGAGCAGAGTGCCCACACTACCTCACGTGCTCTGCAGCTGGAGCAGCATGCTCACACTACCTCACGTGCTCTGCAGCTGGAGCAGAGTGCTCACACTACCTCATGTGCTCTGCAGCTGGAGCAGAGTGCCCACACTACCTCACGTGCTCTGCAGCTGGAGCAGAGTGCTCACACTACCTCACATGCTCTGCAGCTGGAGCAGCATGCTCACACTACCTCACATGCTCTGCAGCTGGAGCAGCATGCTCACACTACCTCACGTGCTCTGCAGCTGGAGCAGAGTGCTCACACTACCTCACGTGCTCTGCAGCTGGAGCAGCATGCTCACACTACCTCACGTGCTTCTGCAGCCTCTGACTCTGTGCCTGCAGCAGATCCACCTGGGACTGCAGTTCCACCCGCCGGACACGCAGGTCGTCGATGACCCTCCGCAGCTGCCGCTTGGACTCCACAAGGTGGGTGTGCTCTTTCTTTGCTTCTTGCAGGTGCTGATGGGTAGCTGTGGCTTCCTGAGGCAGAGGAAAAGATAAGAACGCCACAGACCCCGTAAGGAGAAGGTGAGGGACAGGCAGCATCACAAGTGTGGAAGATGGAAAACAACAAATCAGGAGTTGGAAGCTAGAGCTACTGAAGCTACTATCTCTAGGATCTGGGGTCTGTGGGTTCCTGGTCTCCCACCAGAGCACCATTCTCCAAGCTGGATAACATGACACTGTCCAACACAGTCTTAGAACCCCAGGGCCCTGGACAGGGCAGGTGAACAGATAGCAGGAGATAAACAAAAAAGAAAGGGTGGGCAAACAGACCTCTTTATCCAGAGCAGCCTGCCTCTGCGCGTCCATGAGCATTTGTTTCTTTTTCCGCATGTTCTCCTCCTGAAGGGAGATAAGCCCCAGGCTGAACGTAGACCCCAAGACTGAGGTGGAGCCTGCCCTCTGTGTTCACACTCATTCACCAAGGCAAGACAGATCTAGCCATGGCCCTCCCTCACCTGGACATCCAGCTGAGCCAGTCTTGCCTTGACATCTTTGGTTCTGGTTGTAAGTTCCACTTCTAAATCTTGTAATTTCCTTTCCTGGCAGAAGTATGATAGAGAAAAGACATGGGTGTAGAAAGGGTGAAAGGTATTAGCTGAGGGAAGGGAAAAAGATCCAGAACCCAGCATGCCAAACTCCAAACGCTAAGCTGGACCCAGGCTTGCTTCCTCCTTCCCTGTCCTTGCAGCCTCCCAGCATACAGAATGCCACATCTTGTGGATTCCCAGTGGGGCAAGGAGACATGAACCTGACCATCCCAAAGATGTAAATGGACTGATCTCTCCTTTCCAATACTGGGCCTACCTCCAGGCTCAGAAAACAAAGGAGCAAAGATACCCTGAAGTGTAGACATGGCCAGGGTGAGATCCCATTCCTGAAGGTGCCAGACTCTGCCCCACGACTCTTGGATCAGCACGCATGACTTCCTAAGTGCTGCCTCATCCCCCAGGCCCTCACTTGATCTCGGTGCCGACGCCTTAGGTCCTCAAGCTGCTGGTCCTGCTCCTGCCTCATGCTCTCTAACTCTCGCTCATGGGCCCTTCGCAGGCGTTCCAGCTCTCCAGTCAAGTGTCCCAGGAGGTCAGCCCGCTGCTTTCTTTCCTGAAAAGATCGTGGGGCCACTGGTGGGAACCTACAGTGCTCCTAACACTCCAAAACCAGTCTCCCCACCTCCTGCTGTGGTAGGTCAGTTAGACAAAGGAAGGTCATGAGCAGCTCCCCAGATTTTGCCATGAGGCTGCTGTTTCTGCCCTGAAAGATTGTACAAAGAGTCTGGATTCCAGTTTCCAGAGCAGGAGCCTAAAGGTCCCACACAGGGGCTGAGCCACCTGCCCACCATTCACCCCCAACAGGGGCAGGCCAAGTTGAATTGGAGTCCACTCAAGCTGTGAGACATTCCCACCTCTAGGCCGAAGATGGGAAAAGAGATGGTTGCTATTACTGCTTATCAAGTTGACAGAGCCTAGAGTCGCATAGGAGCCAGGCTCAGGGTGTGTCTGTGAGAGATTTTCTAGATTGGGGTGGTGAGCAGCAATAGCCCATGGGCTGAGGTCTCAGACCACCTGAGACACAGGTGGAGCCGAGCATCAGCTCTCACCCCTCTGTCCCTGATTTTACATGGGGCCAAAAGAAATCCTTCCTTCCTTGAGTTGCCTTTGCCAGGGAGTTTGTTACAACAACACTAAAAAAAAAAAAAAAAAAAAAGTAACTAATGCAGACAGACAATATCCAGCTATTGTTTGGCTCTTGTTTCTTTCTTGTTGTCCTGAAATTCCATGCACCCTGGGGACATGGTTTTAGAGTGACTAAAACTAAAACTATAGAGCCAGACAGATTGGGAAGGTGGCCTAAATTGCCCAGCTCTCAGTGCCCTGGTCTCCAAAATGAAGATGATGATGAATGAGTACATTTCCCATGGCTACCCTGTGGACAGAATGCAGGAGGATAGATAGCCAAGGAGCTCAGAATAGCACCTGGTACCTAGTCAAAGCTAGGTATCCATCGGCAATCATTACATTACCATTTAAAGAAAGTGCAGCTGCTGTGAGGGAATAAGCACCCCTCATTGGGGAAATGGGGGTTTCTCATGCTTCAAAAGAAAAACAGAACGATGATCTTGTTATTGGAGGGTGCCAGAGAAGTAGGTCTCTTCTAACCCTTTTCCAGATCTCACCCTCTCCCCGTGTCTGAGGCCAGCTGGGAAGGACAGCAGTTGGTATGCCTGTGTTTACATGTGCTGGAGAGGGAGGCTGAGCCTACCTCAGCTTCATATCGCTCTCTGACTTCAGCCATCACTTGCCGGTGCTCCTCCTTCATCTTGTCCATCTTCCTCTCATGTTCTCTCTCTACCTCCTGGCGCTTGTCTCGAAGGAGGCTGCTGAGCTGGAAGGGAAACAGAAGAAACACAGCTTGCAGGACTGAGAGCAGACAGGCCTGGGGACCTGAAGGTCTTACACACAAAGTGTCTCCAACACACACAAAGCACCCAAGCATGCACGCACCTGAACTATTACCACCACCCCTTCCTACAAACACACAGTGGCCTAGAAGAACCAAAGGTCCTGGCTTTGAGGGAGGAGAGGCCACTCAGGCTAGACGGCCCAGCAGACCTTACCTCTTGCTCATACTCAATCACCTGATGAACCTTCTGATGAGCTCTCTGCTCTGCCCACCCAAGGCTCTCCTGTAACTGGGCCTCCTCTTTCTGTTGAGCTCCCTCTATCTTCTTCCGGAGGCTGGAGACCACCTAAGGAGATGCCAGCACATACAACCGAACGGGACCCTCAAATGAGGAGCCACCGTGCAGGGACTCGCTGCCAGGGATTTAGCACCCATCCCAGCAACCTGTGGGTGAAGGAAACTCATTCCCTACTGGCCAAGGACGGGGCTGAACTCCTGTGCCACCCAGCATGAAAGGGTCTGAGAGTCCAGGCTCTGCCCCCTCAAAGCAGGCCACACTCTTCTCACCTCCCGGTGCTTGGCCTCCAGTGAGGAACAGAGCCGCTCCAGCTCAGCGCCGTGCTCCTTCTCCAGGCCTGCCACTGCCTGTGAGTGAGAGAAGCAGGGGAGGGTGCTGGCCGGGCACTGACCATGGGAAGCCAGGGTTCTGGAGACCACCTTGCTCTTTGTTCGTAAGGGGCCAAGTAGAATCGCAGGGACACTTTTGTTTTAAAATAATTCAGCCCCTAGAGTCTGCAGCTGGCAGAGGGGTAGAAGAAGGCCAGTGTAGAGGGGCCTCTCAGTAAACCTCAGGTCACTGCTTCCATCCCGACTCTGAACAAGCAAGCCCACACACACTGGGAATAAGAACAGCCAGGCCAGGCCGGATGGAGGTCAAAGGAGACTCTGGAAACCTGATCTAGATCACTGGTTGTCTAACGACCAAAGCTCTCTCTCTCTCTCTCTCTCTCTCTCTCTCTCTCTCTCTCTCTCTCTCTCTCTCTCTTTCTCTCTCAGTGGCCAGTTACTTTGGATTTAATTGGGAGGCTGATGTGATGCCAGAAGGAGGAGAAAATGAAAAGGAGAAAACCTGTGCAAAGGGCTGGTCTCTTCTTCCAGGTCGGAAATCAGGGAAAGGAGCCACTGAAGCTGCCTACAGGGTCAGCTCCTTGTGTCAAGCCCTCTGTGCTGGCCATGGCTCAAAAGCAAAAGCTCCCCAAATCCACAGGACACCACCCTACACATCTGCTTCAGAGACCGGGGCAAGCTCCTGCCCTGAGTAGAGTGGAGCTACATGATGGGCTCAGGGCTCTCCCCCCTGCACCTGAACCTGGAGCTGGCCCCTCTTGTGCTCACTCACCTCTCTCCTCTCCCCTTCCAGCTGCTCCCTCAGTTGCTGCAAAGCCACCTCCTTCTCAGCCTCCTTCCCCGCCCTCAAGGCGGCCTGGGCATTCCGCTGCTCAGCCTCCAGCTGCTCCCTTAGCTGCTCCAGCACCCTCTGGCTTTTCTGTTCCAAACTGGCTCTTTCGGCCTTCTGGAGGGCCTCTGCTTCTTCTCGAAGCCTCTGCAGAGCAGCCTCTTGCTCAGCTCTGGGCAGACAGAATGGAATGGGGAAAGGCCCGTGCACTCAGGTCACCTCCTCAGACCGGGCAGCTCGCCATGTGGACTCACCTAATTTGGTTCTCAAATGCTTCTGTACTGGACTGCACCTGGGCCCGGAAGCGGGCCAGCCGCTGGTTTTCTTCCTCTCTTATCCGAGTCTCCTCTTCCTCCTCTTCCTCCTCAGCAGCTTTCTGCAGTTGTGCCTTTAGGAGGCTGAGGGAAAAGGAAAGGTTGACAGTTGAGAGTGACCAACAAGACAAGAGGTCTTTCTTGTACTCAGGACCCATGCCACTTGGCCTCTAAGAGCCTTGCGGCCTCCCTACAAACCACCCTCGGTATTAGAGATCGGTCAACCTGTCATCCATGCTGGTTCCTCCCGGACCTAAACTCCATCTACCCCTGTCAAAGGAAGCAAATGCCAGGCTTGGTTCAAGGCTCCCTTCCACCTACAGATTATCCTCCCTGCCAAGGTATTCACTCAGGAAGATCACAACCACCCCAAGAGTCACTACTCAGTCACTATGCATCTCTCACTACTCAGTCATGAGACGCTATCCTAGGTACAACAAATGTATCGCCATCTCCAGATCTCACTACCCTTTTCTTTGCCCCTTGATTATTGCTTATACTGGTTCTTCAGCCAAGAATTCCATCTTTCTATTTGACAAAATCACATTCATTGCCCAACATGCAAGCTCATCAATTCACCTTTCCCCTTACAATCTGTGTGAGAACCTTTCTTAGCACAAGCTTCCCTGTGTCGTGCATCACAGTACCTCATAACTAATCTGTTCTATCAGCTTTCCTTACAAGGCAAGGAATTTCTTCAGAGCAAGAATACTGCCTCTTGGTGCAAGGCATCGGTGGTGCACCCCTTTAATCCCAGCACTGGAGAGGCAGAGGCAGGCAGATCTCTGTGAGTTCGAGGTCAGCCTGGTCTACAGAGCGATTTCCAGGACAGGCTCTAAAGCAATGCAATATAGAGAAACCCTGTCTCAAACACACACACACACACACACACACACACACACACACACACACACAAAGAAAAAGAAATACTGCCTCTTGTCAGGTAGTGGTTGAGCATGCCTTTAATCCCAGTACTCAGAAGGCAGAGGCAGGTGGATCTCTGGGTTGGAGGCCAGCCTAGTCTACAGTGAGTTCTAGGACAGCCAGAGCTACACAGAGAAACCCTGCCTCAAAGAATCCTGCCTCCTTTTGGGGAAGGGAACAGGATCTCCTATAGCCTATGCTGGCTTCAGATTCCCTCTATAGCCAAATGTAGCCTTAAGTCCTTATCCTTGGGATTACAGGCTTATACCATCATACCAGGCTAATGATACTATCTTTAAGTCTTTTATATCAAGAACAGAATATAGTAACAGATGTAAAAAACTGGTGTTCAATCAATGTGTTGGGTTTATGCAGTATCATCTAGTCCAAACTATGAGCAAGCCTTAAATGTCCATGAGAGGCGCCTTATCTGACCAATAATATCCATCATTTCACCTCTGCTTTCACAAATGACATCTTTTTGTTTTTGTTTTTTTTTTGGGGGGGGGAATGTGTGTGAAGGGGTTGGGGGTCTAACTCCTCACATAGACCCCACAAAACTAGTGGGTGTGTGCAATGCACCAAGGACATTCAACCTTAAGAAAAACATGACTCGGAAGACCAGAAGACAACCCCTTTGAAAAGGTTTGTAGTAAATTTCAGAGCTAAAACAGATGTAGGATTTCCTACTTCGAGTTATTGATACCACTGCTTTCCTTTAATAATGAGGGAAAAAAAATTGAGCAAAGTACAAATCCCCCCAAAAAACCTGTCTCTTTTTATGTGGCAAAATTTATACAGCCAACATGAATGTAGGGCTGATGGGAAGGGAATTTGGAGCAACCCAAGCTCTCTATTTTACACCTAACAAAACAAAAAAGGCAAGAGCCTGTCTGTCCTCTCATTCAGCTGTGGGGAGGACCCACACCCGGGAATGTCTGTGTGTAAAGGGAAACCAGAGTCTCCTAAAAAACTGCTTCAAGGAGAACCAGACAGACTCTTGCCCATGGGAAATCATTTGGTCATCACTGGCTATAACTACTCATTTCAACCCAAAACCAAAACAAGAAATGCCATTTAGGGAGCAACTAGCATGTTCTAGGCCCTGAGATAGATACCTCCAACATCCTGGTCTCCACAACAAGCTTAGAGCCCTGAGGAGCTGCCTTGAGTGCTAGAGATGCTGTATTGTAAGGTAAGCCATTGGCTGCACCCTGACCTTTAGTTGGCCCAAGAAAATGTGACAGAGAGTGAACCCTGGTGCAGAGAGCCTGTGTTGGGCTAATGAGAGGTTGAAACTGCCCTCCCACTACTTAAATGTTGGTTATCTGTTCTGTTTCCTCAAAATTAAGCACAAATTAGCTATCTGTGGTCCAAAAATAGTAACTTTCAACAGCTCTTGAATGTTCTGTCTAAAAGGACAAGCTTTGGCATTAAATTGTCAACAAAGCACATGCGCATGTTTCTGAAGCACCTTTCCTGGCTGAGGGCTGTGACTTGCTGCTTATTACCTTCTTGGTAGCCATTCACCATTTTCTTCTGAGAATAAGCCTGCCTTTATTCTACTGCAGAAAAGCTAGCTGAAGGACCACCTCTCCAGTCTCCCTGGTCATACAAAGGGGCCAGGCCAGAGATGTGTTTCCTGGGTACTCAATATGATACCAGCAGGTTTCTGGGAAAGGTTTCTAGGAGCTACTTTGGTGAGGCTGTGGGCATCCCAGATAGATCAGCACAGAAAAAGGATGCCCCTCCCTCCCTGTACCCCTCCACGGGGAGGAAAAAGACCTGAGGGAGTTCTCCTTCTGCTGGTAAAGCCGTTGCATCTCCTCCTCCTCCTCTCGCCATAGCCTCTCTTCCAGCTGCTTCTGCCTCTCTTTCTGCAACTCCAGCAGCCGCCTCTGGTCTTCTTCCTTCAGGTCCTGGTTCACTGCTTCTTCCATGGCTTTTGGTATAGACTGTGAGAACTGCTTTTGGGGAGCTGCAGCCTCTGTGGTCTGCCTGCATGGGGGAGGGGCAGCTTACCACCACAGTGTTAGTGCCCACCAAGGTCCCACAGCTACAGAACATCACAGAAAAACTCTAATGGGGAGCCCCCAAACAGGTCACACAGGGGCTGGCAGTAACATACAGTGAGCATCTGTCCTATGGAACAAGCTCCACAGACTGGATAAGGTTCAGGACCCTGGGAGGGGGACAGCCCAAAACAGCCCTGGGAGGCTGTGGCCTGAGGGGTGGCTCGGGAACTGGCAGAGCAGAGAAGAATGAAGTTCTGTCCCTCACGGGTTCTCCCCAGGGACAGTCGCAATCCTGTGTCCATGCCCCCACTGTAGCTCTGCCTGCTACTTCAGGCTCATTTCAGAAACAGGTCCCAGAGTCTGTTCTCTGCCTCTCAAACCAAGCAGAGGCCAAGGCAATGTAGAAGAACCTCTGAGGAAGCCACAAAGTTCCCTGCCTTGCTACCAAAGGAGCCAGGGTGCTTCCCTGAGCCAAACATGGTGAGGGGCTTTCATCAGCTTATGCTTATGCTCATGTCAGGGAATGGTGAGGAACTCTTCACTAACTCAAGCACACAGAGGACTGTTAAGGAGACAACAATGGAAGATCTTTCAGCTGGGTGGTAGGGGCGCACACCCTGAATCCCAGCAGGCAGATTTCTGTGAGCTCTAGGCCAGCCTGGTCTACAGGGCGAGTTCCAGGATAGGCTCCAAAACTACACAGAGAACCCCTCTCAAAGAAGACAACAATGGCATCAGTTTATTGATCGTCTAGAGAGTTATGAACAGTATCAGGATAAAGCATTTCACTTCCTTCAAAGCCAGGAGGCATGCGCACTCCTGGATCCCTAAGGCTCACATTCCAGTGGGTCTCAGCACAAAAAACGCTCTTCTTACACAGTGCTCAGGCATAACACACTGACCATGGCTCAGTCCAGCAGGAGCAGGTGTGAAGGACCTGAATCCTAGAACCACTTGAGAATCAAACAGGGGAGCCAGCCAGCCCTACTGAGAGCCCTGAAACCCCCTCCCTCCAGCTCAGCAGTATGGTAGATGGAAGGCAGCAGGAGGGGACAGATCAGAATGGCAGAAGAGGGTGAAGAATCCCACTGCAGCCCACAGAGACTAGAAAGAGAAAGACAGAAAAGGCTAGTGACATCTCTGAAATACCGTCAAGACCTGTCCTCCCCTATTCCTAAAGTCAGAAGTCAGATAATAACCCTAAGCCATGCTATCAATTCTCTGCTCCCAACTCCGTCCCCTCCCTCCTTCTACGTCCTGGCTTCCAGCTGGTGGCAGATACAGCAACATGGCTGCTACCTCCTCTGAGAATATTGCCCTCCACAAGGGCCTCCCCTCCCAGCTCTCTGCCTCATCAACCCTCCAACTCATTTCCAACCTTGGCAGAAAGCATCTTTTCCTTCCAGCAACAGTACCTTTTAATGTCTGTCTCCCTCGTAGGCTGCAGAGCTGTGTAGCCCTAGGGACAGATGCTGCAGGAAGATGGGGCAGCAGAGCACAGGTGCCCAGGCTGTATGCACCAGTGAGCCTGCCTGCACAGCTGACACAGGGGCAAATGGGCCTGTCCCCTGCCTCCCTGGTTTACAGATTTGGTTATCTTGAACACCACGGTAGGTCTAAAGCATTGAATGATGCCTAAGGAACTAACAGGAATCTGAGGGCTCTGGAAGAAGAGGTAGGTCTGGTTTCTAGGCCAACCGCTCAGGTATCAGCCTCTGTGAGACCCAGTTTCCAGTCACGGGAGGCAAAGGGGAGGCACCGGGGGAACCTAATCACTTCAGGTTGGCCACCAAAAGCTCAGAGATCCACAGGGATAAGCAGGGTGGGAAGGCAGGGAGGGAGAGGTGGTCCCCTGGAGTATTCTGAAATGGGGGTACTACTATTAAGCTAGAGAGCCAGAGACCCCAACTCTCTGCAGTTTTACTAGGGACTGAACTAGAACCTTGCATGTGTTAGGCAAACAAATGCTCTACCACTGAGCTACATAGTTAGCCAGTGGCTTGGATCCATTTACTATTCCACAAATGCTAACAAAAGATGCAGACAATGGTGCCTACTGCCTAACCCTTCAGACTCAGCTGCCAGATGCAGAACGCCTGCACTACTCTAAAAAACAACCGATTATCATTGGAAAAGACTCAAGAAAAGCGAAGAAAGCACCTCCTAAGGGTGGGACACCCTGAGCCTAGAGGGTCTGGAAACCCCAGAAGAGACAGCATCACTGTGACAGGAAGAAACATGAAGTCAGGGCATTGGGCAGCCCAGGTGTCTGGAGAGGAGCTAAGCCGAGCCTCTGGCCTCCCCATAGAAGGCCTTGGACCACCTCCTGACCTCTACCTAGCTTCCTCTCTCTGTGCCACACTCCGCTCCTCTTCTCATGACAGCTCTCTGATCCACTGGGCCACAATCTCCCAAGAGACCTGAGACAGCCACTTTCGTCACTGTAGGATAGCTCAGTGTCTAAAACAAATGTGGCTGCTGCATGCCCACGTGACTCCAGCAGAGTTAGGTTGATGAGCACATTGGCCTGGGCAGCTCTCAGTGAGTCACCAGCAAAAGAACTGTCTGCTCAACAGCCCTGCGTCCTCTGCACCCCTCGTTCACTGGGGGAGCCTGGCACAGATGCCTCAGGCCTAAAGTCAAACGTCAGGGCTCTAGCGGGCAAGTCTGCTCTCTCTGTGACTCACCAGCAAGTCCCCTCCCCACCCTGAACCTCCATTTCCTTTCTAAAACATTTTATATTTGCTTTAAGAGAAAACTAGTGCTTGGTAGAGGAGAGAACATACTTCTCCTGGTTCCTGGTAATGAGCCACAAGGTTCCCCTCACCCACCCTCAGATCTGATAAGGTCAGTAATGGCTGGTGGAGCTCTCAAAGCTGCACACCGAGCACCAAGGATGCATTCACCCTTCGCTCTACTCCTTGCCACCACTCAAGGGGAATGGGCACTCAAGCAGTCCATACGCTGGAAGACAGGAAAGACACATAAAACTGGCCCTTACACCTCTGGAGAGTCAGGTGAGGTGGGGCTGACTGCCACCTTCTCAGGCTCCTCAGCCACTTGCTGCCCAAGGCCCAGCTCTTCAGCCTGGGAGTGCTTTTCCTCAGCCCTCTCAGGGAAAGCAGGTGGGCTCAGGACCTGCTCCCTTGCAAGCAATAGAGAAGCAACTGTGTTAGAGCTGGTAGGAAGTGAAGGGCTCAGGGTCAAAGATCTGTGGTAGGGACAAGGAGGGCAACACCAGGGAAACTTCCCCACCTCATTTCCCCAATCCCCCTCCCTCCCAGGCTCTTCTATGGTCATTTGAAATGACGCTACACACAGCAGGTGTTCAATGGATGCTGTTGATTGAACATTGCTACAGCTCAGCCTCCCCTGCGGCTCATTGCAACTGTATGAATCTTAACACCAACATCTTCCTCTTGCCAGGAGAACAGAGGCACTGGCAAATACACCCTGGGCTCTGGACCAGGCTGGGACAGAGAGGTCTTTCCATCTGGCTTCAGGAGGTCCACCGCCACCCCCCACCCCACCCCCAGCCCCCCCCCCACACACACACACACACAAACTGATGTCTGTCTGGGCTTGGGACAAAACAGTGCTCCAGCTCAGTTTGTGGAGACTAGAGGTGGGCTGGTGCCTGGTAGGGTAATGCAGATGAGAAAGGAGCTGAAAGGCGTCCCCTAGCAGGAATGTAGTACCCAAAGCAGTAGTAGTCGGCCCTGGAAGGAGGCATACTCTTATTCAAGAGTCCCTATGGCTCCCCGGATCAGGCTGGTTACCCTAATTTCAGCTGTAGGCTGAGAACTATGAAGAAGCAGATTTGCCACTGCCCCACCCCCACTCTCACCCACACCCCAGTTTCCGCTGATCTGCTACTGCCGCTTTGGCTGCGGTGTCTACAACATCTCGCATTCCCTTCTCCAGGCCCACTATTCCCCACTATTAAAATGACACACAGAGAGGCCACGACCCTCAGGGACCCTTCTTCCTCATCCTTACCTCTGGAGGGGGGCCAGTGGGAGGGGGCTGGCTACAGAGTCCTTCCCAGGCTCCTTTGCATGCTCCCACTCAGGCTGCCCCACCAGGGTCTGCAGAGGCCCTTCCTCGGTGGCCTGGCTGTGAAGGGTACTCTGGAGCTGCTTCCTAGACAGAATTGGGGAACCATAACCTGGTCAGGGCAGCCAGAGGTACAGAGCCGGGCCTTCACTTGGAAGGCCAGATGGGAGCACACAGTGTGTGGGTACAGTGCACACCAGGCCTCCTCAGCCGGACAGGAGCGGCTGTGCTTCAGACATAGCAGCCACCCAAGCAGCACCACAGCCTCCTCCTCCTCAGCCCCCTCCTGCAAGTTACAGCTGTGCTCTCCGTGCCCTGCTGCATGTGCAGCTGAACACCTTCACATATATGTCCGTTCTCAGAATCCACCATCATGGGGGGCCAGGGAGGGATGAAAGGGTTAAGGGGAAATGGAGAAAGGAAGGCCTGGAAAGATGGCTCAGTGGTTAGGAACATGTATTGCTCTTCCAAGGACCTCAATTCAATTCCCAGCATCCATGTCAGACAGCTCATAACTGCCTATAGTTCCAGCTCTAGGACATCTGACACCTCTGACCTCTGTGGGCACTCACATTCATGACTGAATGCATGAACACAGAGAGACACACACATACACACACTTAAAAATCAAATAAAAAATTTTAATGGGGCAAGGATAGGTTGTAGAGATGACTCAGTGAAAAAGAACACCTATTCTTAGAGAAGATTCAGGCTCAATCCCCATCACCACATGGATGCTCACAACCATCTGTAACTCCAGTTCCAGAGGATCCACGGGTCTCTTTTGACCTCCTCAAGCACCAGGGACACACACAGTGCACAATCACACATGCAGGTAAAACATCAGACACATGAATCTAAAAACTAAAAATAAATGAGGAAGGGGGCACCATACTCAAGTGGACAGACAGTAGCCAGTGCAGAGAGCATTACTGAACACAGCAAAGAAGGAAGAGTGCATACCATTCTCTCAGATCCCAGAAGAGATGACTACTATCCTTTCTTTTCTTGGGTGGTAGCCCTCCTCCTTTTATGGGATGAGGCCAGAGGAGCACACACACATATGTGGGGGGGGGGGTCAGAGAGAGAGTCTGCACAGCCACCTCTACCATCACAGGATCTCTCTCCTCCCCCCCCCTCTCTCTCTTTCTCTCTCTCTCTCTGTGTGTGTGTGTGTGTGTGTGTGTGTGTGTGTGTGTGTGTGTGTGTGTCTGCACAGCCACCTCTACCATCACAGGATCTCTCTCCTCCCCCCCCTCTCTTTCTCTCTCTCTCTTTCTGTGTGTGTGTGTGTGTGTGTGTGTGTGTGTGTGTGTGTGTGTGTGTGACTCTGTGCAGCCACCTGTATCATCACAGGAAGAAGCCTGGCTCAGAATGCTGAGCTTCAGTCGAAGAGCATGGTGCTCTAGACATCCAACAGGGCACTTCAGCCCTGGCTCACAACCAGATACACACAGCTTAACCCAGCTTAATCAGCCCAAACCAACAAAGAGGACAGAGCCCTGAACTCACCAAAGGGCCATGTGCAAAGTCCTGCCAAGTGACACTTCACACTCCTGTCACAGTACACCACCACAGGCAGGGTTCCTCCCACCATGCCCCCACACCACACACACACACACACACACACACACACACACACACACACACCTTGTACTGCCATCCAGCTAGGTCACCATCTGTCTTCCAGCAAGGGCATACATACTAAGCCAATGGCAACCATAAGAACCAGGAGTTCTACCCCAGCCAAACAGCACCCTGAAGACACAGAATGCCTTGGGTCCCCGAGGCAGCTTCCCACTGTACCTCTCAGAGACTGGGGAATGCTTGCTCTGTGGCTCGGCTCTGCTGGACTGGCTGTCATCTCGCTCTTCCTGGCCTAACCCCTGGGCCTGCAAGCAAGAAGCCAGGGGAGAAATTCATTAGAGGGGTATGCGATGCAAGGGTCTCTTATTTTGATGAGTCAAATACTCAGCAGGTGTACTATGGCATGTCTTGAGAGGACAGGAGCCACTGAGACACAGAACATGTCTGCTGACTGTAGAATGCAACTTCCTAAGCTCTAGCTAAGCCCCTGGCCCATATATGGAACAGGAGATAAACAAATATGGTCACTACACACATAGATAGGAGCCAGAGGTGGGGGGTGGGGGGATCTAAAAGCCTGGCCTGCTGCCTGGAGCCTATACTGCTAGCTGCAAAGAGAAGGCAACGATTTCCATGGACACCCTAAATTCACTGAGGCCTGGACCAGTGGCACAGAGGTGCCAAATTAAATGGGCAGACCAAAGCCAGTAGGTAAGCACACCAGAAAGAAAGAATTCTGAAGTACCAGAATATAGAGGGAACAAAGGCTATGCCCCAAACTGGGGGATGCCGTCTGACTTTGGGGAAGGACAGTGGCATTCCTTCCGCTGCACCATTCTAGGACATAAACCCCATCAGCAAACAATGACCCTCCCCCCCACCTCACAGTCTGGTATTACAGCATCTGTTTGAAAATAAACACCCACATCTTATTTTACATCTTGGGTAGCTAAGCAAATTTAGCAAACTGGTTTAAAAAAAAAAAAAGACAATTTCTGATGATTTCAAATATTTCTTAAAGCAATGTAGTGATGATGTCAGCCTGGGATCCATTCTTTGTTCCAGAATGTCCTTCCTCAAGTGCCTCCTCCCCGAACTATGGCATGGTAAAGCTCAGCTTCCAGGGCTTCAGTAAGGGTGAGGTGTCCTACACATAAACATAACTTCTGCCGAGGAAGGCAGGCCATAACACCAGTCTCTACTCTCCCATCTTCTCCCTCAGCCTAAGAGAGAGAAATGTAAAGCTCTGTGACAGCACCAGGCCTACTCTAGGACTGGCCCTCCTGACAGGAGATCTGTGTGCTCTAGGACTCAGAGGTCACCAGGAGAGATGGGGAAGGAGACAGAGCACTGTCTTCCCCAGTGGGGTCCTAGTCCTCTGCCCATCTCACACACACACTTCTCCTCTGGCAGCTTGAATACCCCCCCCCACTTGATCTGACTCTGCCATCTGGGTAGGTAAGGAAGGGCAAGGCTTGCACGAAAACCCAGCTCCCTGAAATTACATTAAAACTAGCAACACCACCTGTTTGCACCTCTCAGAGCCTGAAGCAGAAAGGCTCCCTGCCAGTGCTGCCACCCCTCGTTGCATCAGCCTGGGCACAGCCTACACACAATGACGGGCAAGCACACCCTCCCCACCCCACCTCACTCTCCTTCTAATGCTCAGCTCGCCATGAATCTTCCCTGCAAACCACCCGCCACCATCCTCTTGTTCCCGGGTTTTCAAAGACAGACAGAGCACTTCACAAACTAAAATGATAAAAACTCAAAATAAGCTCAAAGCCACGAGGGACTCTAGGAGCATGAGGATACAGAGGCAGACTGGAGCTGACCACAGACCACATCATTCTGTCTGCCCCCCCTTGCTTCAGGCCCTGTGCTTCTGCAACAAACTGAGGCAGCATCCCAGGAGAGAAGGGACAACACGGGGAAGCAGGGCAGTGGGTCTTCAGCAGGGTTTTACTTCACCCTAGAACTTCTGTCTCAGAAAGAAAAAGAGGACCCTGAGAAGGGACAGGGCATGCTGGCACTCTCAGAAAGAAGAGCAAAACAAGCACTTACCAATGCTAAGCCTCTGACCTAACACTTCTCAGGACCCCAAGACCCCAGCCTTACCTCAGCTACCGAGTTTTGTTTTAAAGAGCTAGTCCCCAGGTGGAAGCAGGAGGGTTGCAAGTCTGAGACAAGCCTGAGCAATTTAGATGTGTTTTGTTTTGTTTTGTTTTTTAAGGGCAGGGACCAGGGTGCTGAGGTAGCTAAGTGGTAGAGAACTCACCTAGCATATACACAGCTCTATCTATATTCAATGTCCAACAATGGAAGGGGGGATTATTTCAAAGGAATGCATAGGGCAAAATGTATCAAACTTTTCTCTTTAACTATGCAGTTTATTATATGTCACTTACATGTGAAGTTATATCCTTTTCTTCCAGTGTTGTGGATGGAATCCAGGGTTTCACATGTGTCAGGCACTAAGCTACATGCCTAGTCCTCAAAATAATTCTGAGATGAGCAGAACTTAAGACAGTTTCATTCTAAGGCTCTCCCTGTTCCTAGCCTTGGGAGCGATCAGAAGAGAGGAAATGGAGCTAGAGCCCCAGAGGACCACAAAGAAGACTGCACCCATGGATCTGTCCATGCTGTGAAGTGGCTGCTGCTCTCTCCTGCAGCCTCACACTTCCACACCCTGAGAACAGGAGACAGCTATAGGCTGGGCCCTGTCAGAGGCACTGCTGGCCCATCGCCAGATCATCTAATGCCAACCACACTCCAACATGCTTTAATATCCTCAGCACTGCAACCAGGGGGTGTCCAAAGTCTAGCAGAGACCTGGTAACTGGATAGCCACCCAGGAAGGTACCAGCCAGACCCAAGAGGAACATATGGGGCTCAAATGAAACCTGAAAACACGGCTCCCTGCATACACCAGCTCACACCAGCTCACACCAGCACACACCAGCACACACCATGCTGGGTTATTAAGCATCCTGTTGTTTCACACAAGATTCCCATCCACTCAAACCAGTTGTTCCTTAAACCCTGAGAAGACCATGTGCCAGAATCCCTCTTGTAGTAGCCCACAGAGGAGAAAAACAACTGCCCTGACTTAAGTCCCTTTTAGAGCAGCATCTGTGTTTCAGGCACCTTTGTAAGGCCGGCAGAGCAATCACAAGGTGCAGCATGTGCAGACCGCTGACAGAGTTGGAAGGGATGGGTGGGCAGGTGGTCAACCCTCAGTTGTCATATGGATAAATGGACATGAGACAGGGCAGGGATATTTCAATGCATAGCAGCAACAAAGCAGTCATGGCCAGAAGTTCCACCAGAGGCAAGTGTCTGGAGGGAAAGAATGACCAGAAGTCTGCACTGATAGGCAGGAGTCAGCTAAAAGTATCTGCCAGAGAAATTAAGGCCCTAGCCTAGCCCACCCAGACTCACCTCCCAGTGGGCTTCATCCAAGACTGGAGAAAGCATGTCACCATCCAGTAGATGCTCTGAGAGCCGGCTGCGAAATCCAAAGTCCTGGAGATGGTAGAGATGAGAAAATCAGCTCTGCCCTTGTCATGCTCAGTGCTTGCCAACCTTTCAAAAGGGTGTGTACTAGGTCCTAGGCACTGAGCTCAACACTGTGACATCTAATTAAGTTCTCAAAAGCAGGCAAGATGATGAGGGAATCAGAGTCAAGCATCCCCTGTAGACACTAAGTGAAGAACATGAAAATTCACTATAAAATTCTTTTGATTTTTTTTCTATATACTTACCTTTTTTCATAATAAAATTATACACAAAAATAAGCCTTAACTGGAATGCTTATGCCCTCATGGACACTGCTGCAGGCCATGTAGTACATAAAATTTGGTCAGGACAAAAAGCTGGAAACAAGGGGGCTGCAGATCAGATGAGCCCCAGGCCTGACTCTTTCCAAGACACATACTACACAGCATGGCTCTTCCCAGATGTCTCCTACTCCCCATCCATCCCATACCGGAGTAGGGCAGGAGAAAAACCAGCAAACCCAAACCCATGGGAAGCTTGGAAGTGATGTTTGACTGGCTCCTTCCAGTTCATTCCTTCCTTCTTCCCAGAGAGGTGCCCCCCCCAACAATGGGAATTATTCACAGTGATTTGTTCAGAGTCCTCTTGGGAATACACAACAGGTGCCCACACCAAGCCCAATTCTTCATTGCCCTTTGGCTGCCACAGGACCAAACCACATCCCTTCTGAGCCTAAGATCCTGCTGGATTAAGTGAAGGATTGCTATCTGACAGGGGACAGTTCTGTCATCCCTGATGGATGGCGGGATGCCCAGAAAAGGTCTGATCCTGCTTTCTGTCTCCAGCTTCCTCCCTCCACACCCAGAGTGAAGAATGCTGATGGGCACAGCAGCACACGGTGGCAGCTTTGGAAGGACCAGAGGGTGAAACACAGTTATTCATCATTGCCAAGTGTTTAGTTGGCTAAATGGGTTTTTTGTTGTTGTTTTGTTTGGGGTTTGGATAAGTTTTGTTTTGTTTTGTTTTACTAATAATGGGTTTTGTTTTTGTGGGGTTTTGTTTGTTTTAGGTTTTATTTGTTTGTTTTGTTCTTGGCTTACCCTTCTAGCCTTTCTAGTTTCTGGGGGTTTGCTGGATTTTTATATTTCCCTTCAGTTTGATTTCTACTCAATCTAATGCAACTGCCATCTGCTTCTGAAGCCCATGGCTCAGTGTGGGGCCAGAGCACTCAGCTGTCTAACTCCTCTGCAGCCCTCCTGTCTTCTCTGTTCATCCCTAACCCTCTTCCACTAATCCCTTCCCTTATAACTGCCTCCTCTGAGCAGATGGAGGGGGACATGCAGACATAACAGTGGACCAAAAGTAACCCAATCTCCCCTTTAAGACTCAGTCTTGGCAAATGGACTGGAGATCCAGCTGGATGGAGGTCCAGGACACAGAAATCATGGATGACCTGACAGTGTAGGACAAAAGCCTTAACTTTCAAATTAAATCCTGGCCAAAGCCTAGCAACTGTCCTCAGCATGGCTCAGTGACCCAGGAACACCTGAAGCCTCCCGCATATAACTGTCCTGCTAGGTCACAGGCTGCTCAGGTGGCCTCATAGAAAAGTCACACAAAGTAAGAACACTGACACCAGCCTCAGTTCATTCCTACAGTAAACTGATGAAGTGGGCAGTGCTACCCCTGGTCACTGAGTTGAGAAAGTGGAACTAACAAGACCTAGTTTTGAGGGTTAACTGTCCCACTTCCCAGATGTGTGACCATTGGTAAAGTACTGTTTTGGGGGGAAAAAAAAAACACCAAGATCCTTCATACCGCCCTGCTGAAGCTCACTGCAACTTACCAGGCCATGGAAAGACTTGGGAACAGAAGCTTCAGACTCTGAGAACTGTGGGTCCTTCGAGTGTTCAAGGATCTCTGACTCCTGCAGGGGACACATGACAGAGAAACAACCCCCCCCCTCCAATGTTCAGGGCTGCTATCCATGGAATTCCCAATAGGTCACAGGGCCAACATCAGACTGAGCCTAAGCCAAAAAGCTACCAATTCTGAAAACTAACAGATATAAAAAGCTATACAAGAATGGGGCTATGTACTTATGCTGATAGAGGACAACCACATCCCAATCAGACCAGCAGGATTTAAACAGGATAGGAGAGCTAAGAATAGTAGAGACAGGATGTCAGCACTATAGACATCTGATGCTATCTCAAAAAATAAAATATATCTTCATGTGCACACAGTGTATGTGTGTGAGTGTGTATATGTGTGTGTGAGTGTGTGTGTGTGTGTGTGAGAGAGAGAGAGAGAGAGTGTGTATGTGTGTGTGTGTACATGTAGAAGCCATAAGTCAGGGTCAGGTGTTGCTCTTCATGACGTCCATCCACTTTGTTTTGGGGGACAGAATCTTTCACTGGGCGGAAGCCCATTTGATCTGGCTAAGCCGGCTGGCCAGTGAGCTCCAAGGATCCATCTATCTCCCCCTCTCCAGAGCTGGGATTATACATACAATGCTCATCAGTACACCTGGCTTTTAAGATGGATTCTGGAGCCTGGCAGTGATGGCACACACCTTTAATACTAGCATTCAGAAGGCAGAGGCAGGAGGATCTCTATGAGTTTGAGGCCAGCCTGGTAAACTGAGAGAGTTCCAGGACAGGTTCCAAAGCTACACTGAGAAACCCTGCTCAAAAAACCCGAAGGAAAAAAAAAGATGGATTCTGGGGTCAAAGCCAGACCTTCAAGCTGTTCACAAGCACTTTCTGAACTAAGCCATCTTACCAACTCTGGAAGTGTCTTTTCCAGGACTTAGACAGAAGCTCTCTAAATGAATTTTCTCACTGTCTATATGGAAAAAGACTAAAGGGTAGGAAAAGCCATAATGCCAGAGGTGTGTTCTCTCTCTCTCTCTCTTTCTCTCTCTCTCTCTCTCTCTCTCTCTCTCTCTCTCTCTCTCTCTCTCTCTCTCTCTCTCTCTCTCTCTCTCCAGGAGGTGCCAATGGAAAAGCACATTTCTGTTCTAAATTCCCAGTGCCAGCAGGCTTGCTGTTTCATTCAGGACTTTACTTCCCGCTGGGTCTGGGCATATTTGTCACAATTAAGGGCTCTGGCTGATGCTGACAGGTGAATGCAGCTCCTGATTCCGTAATACAGACATGGAGGCAGGAAGCTGTAAGGAGCTGTAGACAGCAGCAGCGGGTCCCAGCTGACAACTGCCTTGGGACCAAGGGACTTACCTCCCTGGCGTCTGATGTGCTCTCCTCCAGGGCAGAAGCTTCCTTGGCTGCAGTCTCCTTCCCGGAAGCCTCCTCTTCTGCCTCCACTGCACCCTCTTCCTGCTCCTTTGTGGAAGCCTTGGCAGAGTGATCATCCCCAGAGTCTAATCCAGGAGCCACCTCATTCTCGGAAGTCTTGAGATTGTTGTTCTCATTTTCTTTATGTGGGTCCCAGGGACTTGCCCCTCTTCCCTGGGATCTGCTGCCACCAGCACTGGCCAGACTACTGTCGCCACCCTGGCTGAACAGCTTGCCAGGAGTCGGGGGCCGATCGGCATCTGAGTCGAGAGAAACATCCTTCTTGTCCACTGGCTGGCTGGATCTTGGAGACTCCTGAGGAGGGAAGACAATGTCAGAAAGGAGCCAAAAAGTTTAGAAACTGACACAAGATGGGAGTGGCTGACCCTTTACTCTTGGGTGGGCTTTGTGAGCTCTGACCTTGTTATCCTACATAGTGTGTGTGTGTGTGTGTGTGTGTGTGTGTGTGTGTGTGTGTCTGTGTCTGTGTGTCTGTCTGTCTGTCCACTTGCATATGGAAACCAGAGGTCAATGTCAGTTGTTGTCTTCGGTTACTCTGAGGCATGGCTTCTCACTAAATCTGGAGCTCTAGGAAGCTACCTGTCTCTTTGCTACCAGCATTGGGATTATAGATGAATGCTGTCATACCTGGATTTTTAAATGGGTGCTAGGAATCAGAACCCAGGTCCCCATGCTTGCACGGCAAGCACCTTACCCACTGAGCCATCTTCCTAGCCCTCCCAAACAGCCTTTTTTTTTTAATGCTTTAATTATGTATGTATGTGTGCACATGTGCATGTGAGTCCAGGTGTCTGTAGAGGCCAGGAGCATTGGCTCCTACAGGAACTAGAATTATGGCCAGTTGTGAACTACCCAATAAAGGCACAAGGAACCAAACTCTGGTCTTTTGAAAAAGCAGTATGTGTTCTTAACCACTGTGAGTTGTCTCTTTAGTTGCCCAAAAGCTTTGCAAAACACAGATTGCTGGCCCTTGATCCACATCCAGATAAACTGAATGGCAGTTTCTGAAATGATATGGACACATTAAACAGGGCTTAGAAATTACTGCAACTCCACCATCATCTGCCATATCCCCCAGCCCTGTCAGCCAAACCCTCAGCCCTCAGGAGCCAATATTTATTCAAAACGATGACAGACACCATGCAGGAGAACAACAGCAAAGATGGGAACTTTTATTTTCATTTTTCAAAGAAAGAAAGGGAAAAATATAAGAAGGGTACTCCTCCTCCCTGAGTCTTCCTACACAAGCTGAACGTCAGCAACCCTGCAGACAGCATATCCTATCCAGGACACACAACCTGGGGTCTCTGAGAAGCAGCTGTCCAGGTGGGATTAGCTGGGTAAGAGAGGGGGCAGACCAACAAAGGAGGGAGAACTTCAGAAGAGACACAGGTGGTCATCTGTGGCAGAGAAAGAGGAGCACAGGAGCCTAATGAGCACACCTGGGTCAAGCAGCGTGCTCAAGCGGGCCGCTGTCAGAGAAGTCCCACATCAGGCAGGCAGGAAGGGCCCTGTCCCCAAACTCCTAGGAAGATCTGTAACACTACAAGGAAGTGGAATCTTAGCAGGAACCAGGAAAGACAAAAAGGCCAGTAACTGGTAGCTGTCAATTTTCTCAACTCCACTTAGGTCTCCTGAAAGGAGAGCCGAGCTGCACACTTATCACAGTGACCACACCCTGTTCTCACATACAAACTCACTAGTAAAAACCCAAGGCTGCTTCTGCTAAATTCTTCATAGAGGTGACCAAAATAGAAACAGAAAGCCCTCCCTCAGAAATACAGCCAGTGATCTCTCCTGGGCCCAGACTCAGAGCCTCCTTCCAGAAAAACATCTGTGTTGGCACTTAGGCTGTCAGGCCGAACAACTCCTGATCAGGAATTTTTAAGACTTCCCAATTCCCTATCCTGAAGATGAAAACAAGGAGCATATTAAGTTAGGATCTGAAGTGTCCCCCAAAAGGCCTATGTGGTAGAAGCTTGCCCTACAGTGGCATTACTGAGAAGGGGTGGAACTTCTAGGACATGAGTCCCAACTGGGAGGTCTTTGGGTTACTAGGGTCACACCCTTCATCTCTTTGCTCCTCGGCGTATGGTGTGAACATCTCTGCTAGGCCCACATGGTCCTACCATGATGGACTGCCTCACCACAGACCTAAAAGAAGTGTGCTAATCAGTCACGGCATCACTTTCAAAACTGCTGGAGGATATAAGCCTTTTCTTAATATGGCATAAAGTTTAATTCAGATATTTCACTATGGTAGTAGAAAGCTGAGCATCACAAGGCAAGTTGGCAGCCTGAAGGAGAAGGCCTCTACATGGCTTCTGCTGCTGTCCTAGTGTGATGTCTGTTGAAGCCAAAGACAGAGCCATTGCAGATCTGGCAGCTGACTAACAGGCTGACCCAGGCTCCCAAGAAAAGGTAAAGGGAGACAGGAGATGCAATCTCAAGCAGATTATTGTGCCTCCCCATTCCTTCCTCTTAAATACAGAGATTCAAGGACTGCCCACCTTACAAGCCACTTGGAGTGTTAAATGAGTTAACTACCACTCATTAAATGAGGCAAGGAACTTAGAAGTATGCCTCTCTACACTGCCAGTGCCGCAGAAATGCCGCAGAAATGACCACTAATGTTCTCTGATAATGAGACCCCATATTCATCCTCTGGGAGCTACGGTGTACCAGACACCCATTGCCTTAGGGGACAGGAGATGACCACACAGGTTCTGCCTGGGGTGGGGAAGAGCACTAAGCTAACCCTGAAAAAAGTGAAATGTCTTGTGAGTTTTGGCCACTCGAACCTAAGATGCACTAGCGGCTGGTGTGACTGCTACCAGCCCCAAGCCTGTTACTGTAAGAAAGAAGAGGATACCAGATAGAAGTAGACTCTCACTCTTTTTTTTTTTTTTTTTTTCTTTCATTTTAAAAAAAAATAGGGTGCATGCCTTTAGACCCAGCACTCAGGAGGCAAGAGACCAACCTGATCTACAAAGCAAGTCCAAAGACAGACTCCAAAGCTACAGAAAAACAATGTCTCAAACAAACAAACAAACAAACACAAAAAATAGCTGGGCTGGAGAGATGGCTCAGGGGTTAAGAGCACTGGCTGCTCTTCCAGAGGGCTGGGGTTCAACTCCCAGCACCCACACGGTGGCTTACAACCATCTATAATAATGTGATCTGGTACCCTCTTCCAGCATGCAGGCAGAACACTGTATATTTAATAAATCTTTTAAAACATTAGCTGTAGGTCTTATTTTTATTTATTTTTAAAAGATTTTTATTTATTCATGTGTGTATCTGTGTGTCTCTGTGTATGACATGTAGGGTTTGCCCATGGAAGCCAGAAGAGGGCATAAGACCCACTGGAATTACAAACAGTTGTGAGCCACCTGATGTGGGTGATGAGAACTGTAAGTGTTCTTAACCAATGAGCCAGCTCTCGAGCCCCGAGTTTCATAATTATACTGGAGAGAACACAACCCAACTATAAGAATCTTAAGCGTCATCTAGGCAACTCTCAAGCTCAAATAAACCCTTCAAAGGATGAATTCAGTGTGGGGCATAGCTCACTGGTAGAGTGTGTGCCCAAAGTGTAAGGCCCTAGCTTCCACCTTCAGCATCCCTCCCTCTCCCAAAAAGGAAGATTTCCATGAGACTGGGTGACCTCAATTTGCCTGCCTAAACATAAAATTCATAAAATAAGACAACCATTAGAACAAATAGCCTTGGTCTGCATCCACATCTAGTGACTCTATCCATAGGACAGCCAGAAATGTGTCCTGGCTGTCTATCATCTACAAAAAGATGCAGGGATCTAAGTATCTCATGTGACTCCACATTGTCCCTGTTCACCCAGCCCATCCTTGGCTGTCCCCAGGTTCTGAAGCCCCCAGGTAGTATACACACCCCAGACATCTCTGTACAGTCTTCTGCTCCAGGCTCTATGAGTGCACAGCTCTGCTCTGGGCTCCTCCATGCTCAAACTCCCCAACCTCCTCCCGCCACAGTCTCAAGTCCTGCATTTCAAGGCATATTTCAAGACTTTGCCATCTGCACAAGGAGGGGGGTGAAGAGGAGTGTCTGTCAGAACCAGTTCTTGAATTTAACACTTTTCAAAAGTCATGAGTCTCCCCAGGTTGCAGTCCCACCCCCTCACCTGCCCAGAGCACAAAGGCACTTGGGCTCCCATGATCCACACTGCAGGGGGGGGGGTCACAGGGCCTGGGGGGAGGCATTCATACTGTTCTGGGGAGACTCCTGCTAAGCCAACCACCGGTCTGGGTTATTTTCCAGGCCTGGTGCCCATTCAGTTGGTCTCAGCTCTTTGCACAGCTCCCTGGGTGTAGTTAGCACTTTCCAATCACACTGACATCATCCTGTGATTTCTAAGCTGAGGTCCCCTCCCTCCCTTTTGATAGCTGATGGCTTTTCATCAGCACCGCAAGACCACATACTGCCTCCTCACCACCCTCTGCCTCCCCCTCTCCCGCAGAAGCCTTCTTGGTGTGGGGTCCGCGAACCTTTCCCTTTCAGTCTGTAATAGACTAGCAAGGGGTTTAGGTTGGAAGGCAGAGTAGACATTCTTGCCATCCTGCTGCCCTCTTATGGAAGGAAGAGCAAAGTGACTGCTTGGTGACACAGGGCAAAATGAACCCAGGAAGAAGGGCTGTAGCTGCACTGCAAGACCCAGGTGTGTGGGGGGGGGGGGGGGAATAACCGGGACAAAAGCCATTTCAAAGTTAAGTGCCCAAGTGGAGACAGCTTCGCCTGCCTAGAAGCCTTCATTGATCTCCACCACTAACACCTCACCCTAGGAAAAAACCCTAATACCAACTGAGGTTAGCATAGGACTACCACACCCCATGTGGCAGAGAACTGAAGACAGGTATGTGAGGTGTCTAAGCATCACCTATTCCAGACACTTCCCTACCTCACTGTGGTGCCAGGCAGGCTATTAAAATGATTTAAAAGCTCCTGCTTCCCACACCAGCGAGGGGAAAACTTCGGAAGGCCATAACATGTAAAGGAAAAAAATACCTTTCTTGGTTGACATCTGTAATCCATTAAGAAGTAGTCATGATCAAGCCACAGTGGAATTTCAATCCACCAGCTGACTGCAAGGAACAAACACCTACTGTACCCAGAAATCGAGACAGCCAAGGGAAGGAAAAAAACACCACCCAGCCTATCTGGATATCCTCCACTCCATTCTCTCAGCTGCTAAATGAAACACACCCAAGCATTTCCTATGCCCAGGAAGTGGGCTATGTGCTGGGTGTACAGACATAAATTATGAAGCATCTACACCTTCACTGTGCCTGATCTCCTGGAAATCACCCTCTTTCTCCAAACATGCAAGCTTTCATGACACCCCTTCTCCTAGTCGCAGACATCCATCCAGGTGCAAACTGAAGACCTTCTGTGAGTCCACCAGTCAGTCAGCACTGGTTAACGGGGGGCTGGGAAGAAAACAAAGTGCTCCTGTAGAGAACCAAACAGACCTCTTTCCTCAAGCAGACCAGCCCCACTCAGAAGGAACAGTTTCAAAGCAGTTTCAAAGCAGACAGTATCAGATTGGAGATACAGATGGGGCAGTCAGGAAAAGTGCTACATTTGGCAGAAAGTGTTAAAGGCACAATCAAAACATAGCTGACTATGCAGAACCAAAAGGCTGAACTGATGGATCCTGAGATAATCAGCAAAGCTTTACTATGGATCTTGCCCCAAAGACAGAGTTGGAACCCCTTAAGAGATGCGCCCACGGTGAGGTCTCAAGTACCATCCAGAACCTGTCAGCCAGCGTGTGGACTAAGACAGTATCCTGGCTTCCAAGCAGTGATGAGTACCAAGAAATATGAGTCAGAAATAATAAGAGATTGGGCCAGTAAGACAGTTCATGGTAAAGGCACATGCTGCCAAGTTTGACAGACTGAGTCCGATCATCAGGAACCTCATGGAAGGAGAAAACTGATTCCTGAAAGATGTACTCTACCCTCCACGTATAGTCTGTGACACACACACACATATGCAAATTAAATGCAATTAAAAATAATAAGGGGGGCTGAGGAGATGTCTCAGAGGGTAAGACTGCTTGCTGTGCAAGCATGAGCACCCATGTAAAAAGTCAGGTATGGCCACAGGAGGATCACGGGTCATGCTGCCTGTCAGCCCAGTGCCAGGCTCAGTGAGAGACCTATCTTGAGGGAATAATTAGGCAGTGGGTGAGAGAGCAGAATACCCAACGTCCTCCTCTGGCCTCTATGTGCACTTGGGCATATTATGATCCAGCAAATATATATGTGCAACACACACAGTCTCACACACACACAGTCATATACACACAAAGAATAGGGATAATTAAGAAACCAACTACAATTTGTGATGGGAGCACCTTTGCTCTTCTGGCCAGGTTTGTGGTCATACTAATGACATAAAAGTCATTTTGTCTTTAAGGTATAGAAGGCACTAATGACAACATAATATCTAAGGCCTGGATGAGGCTTAGACCTTGCAGTCGGTATTTAAATGTCTTCATGATTCTAATTTGCAACTTCATGATTCATTACTTATAACAAATACTTGAGGAAAATTTAGAGAACTGTTAATTGCTTAAAAATTAATAAATTGGGGGGTGGGAAGTAAAAAATTTTTAAATTAATAAATCAGACACTAGACAGAGACTATACAGTGGGAGATGTTCCTATGATTTCTATGCCCAGGCTCCAAAACAAGCACGGAAGGTTCGCATATGATGACACAGGGATTTGCACTGCCTGTGTGCTCTCCATGAAAAACATGCTGGAGGCAGCACAAGTCAGACTTCAGAGACAGGTGGGACCTTGGAAGCTTGCTCCAGAAACTGTTCCCACCCATATGCTTTTTTTCCACCCTTAAATCTTTGCTCGGGCTCTTCATTTATCTAGACTATCCCTGTCTAAAATTTAGCTTCCCTTCAAAACCCGGGGCAAATGTCCTCTCTTCCACCAAGTTTGCCTTAGGTACGAAATCTCTTCCCCGTGTAGTACGCAAGGAGGGGGGAGGCCATAAGCATACACATCTCATTATGCTCAAAGCACCTGCTAGTGCAGGCACTTTACCAAGAAGTAGTCATGTGACAGCTGAGAGACTGGATTCCCTGAATCCAAGAAATCCTACACAGACCCATGTGGTAGAATATTATTTTCAGGTGTGTGACTTTTGTGTATGCTGCATTTGTTTAACTCTGAAGCTGTGTTACTGTGTTACTGTTACTGTCTAAAACACCTGATGGCCCTAATAAAGAGCTGAATGGCCAGTGGCAAGGCAAGAACAAGGATAAGCGGGGCTGCCAGGCAGAGAATATAAATAGAGGGAGGAAGGAGAAAGAGAGGAGCAAAAAGAAAACAAGAAGAGGATGATGTCAGGGACGGACCAGCCGACCTGCCGACCTGCCAGCCCACCAGCCCGCCAGCCAGTCACGAAGAAAGAAGAAAGTAAGAAATACAGAAGAAAGATAAAATCCCAGAGGGAAGAAGCAGATGGGTTAATTTAAGATAAGAAAAGCTGGCTAGTAACAAGCCAAGCTAAGACTGGGCAATTATAAGAAAGAATAAGACTCCGTGTGTGATTTATTGGGGAGCTAGGTGGTGGGCCCCTCAAAAAGACCAAGAAGCCAAAAGAGTAAAAAATATTTCAAACAACAGACCCAAATGGACCAGTTCCTTTCCAAATATGCTCTGCAGACAGCAAAGCTGCAGAAGGAACAAAGGTAAAGTCCAGACGAAGCATTTATCAACAGGGTTCTCAGGCTCTTTCTTACCTCATACTCAAAGTGACCTCCCAGAGCACCAAGGTCCAGATGCAGGTTCTTGAGAAGTTCACTGGAGCTTCGGACACTCTGCAAGCAAAGACAACTATGAGCACTGTCTTAGATGGGGCTTCTGTTGCTGTGATAGAGTTCATGACCAAAAGCAATATGGGGACGAAAGGGCTTACAACTCTCGTAGTCAGTTCCGGAAGGAACTCAGGGAAGGGACTAGAAACAAGAACCAATACACAGGCCATGGAGGAATGCTACTTACTAACTTGCTCTTCCTGGCTCCATCAGCCTGTGTTGTTTGTTTGTTTGTTTGTGGTTTTTAGAGACAAGGTTTCTCTGTGTAGCCCTGGCTGTCCTGGAACTCGCACTGTAGACCCAGCTGGCCTCAAACTCACAGAGATCCTCCTACCTCTGCCTCCCAAGTGCTTGGGTTAAAGGTGTGCACCACCACCGCCCAACTGTTCAGCCTGTATTCGTAAATAGCTCAGGACCACTTGTTCAAAGATAGCACTACCCACAACATGCTGGACACATATTAATCATTAATTAATAAAATGCTTCACAGGCTTGCTTACAAGCCAATCTTATGGAAGCGTTTTCTCAATCATGGTTCCCTCTTTTCAGATAACTCTAGCTTGTGTCAAGTTGACCAGGAAAAAAGTGATAAGTCTAAAGAAATTGGCCAGCCCAACATGAAGGGCATACAGAGGAGAGTGGGGGTGCCCTGGCAAGGCTTTGGGGGACTCCAGGGCACACCTCCACTAAGACCAATCTAAGTAGCCCTTTACCCAGTGAACACAAGACCAAGTAAGTATGTTGTGTTCTCCAGCTCAGACCTAAGAGGCATACAGACCGGTCAAGAAAGGAAGTTATGGGTGGGGGGAAAAATGCTTTTATTCATTTTTAAAGTGGCTGGGAGGTTAGCCAAAGATAGAACTAATCCATATATCCACCAACAGATGAGTGCATAAACAGAACATGGTGCACACACACAACAGGCTTCAAAATGAGTGTTTACATACTCGCTGCAGCATACTGAGCAAAAAGGTGCCAGACATCAAAGAAAAACACTGTGATTTTACTCTTTACTCATATAAAACATCTAGAAGTGGCAAATTTGTGAGCCAAAAAAAAAAAAAAAACAGTTTTATAGAGGTTACTGGGACTGGGACTGGGACTGGAAGAAAAAGGAATGATTTACTGTTTGGTGGCTAGACTCTGAAAATGGACAGTAGTGATGGTAACATAACATTATGGGAAAAAGAAAGAAATAAAGGAAGGAAGGAAGAAAAGAAAATAATAACCCTGAATTACTTGATAGTTAAAGTAAGTTAAAATTTTACCTGTGTGTGTGTGAGAGAGAGAGCTTTACCTCCGTTTAATTACATATACACCCAGAGGGTTTCTAGGCCAGAAAAGGAACCTCACCATTACCTGGTTGTCACTCTCCTCCTCGTCCTCTTCATTGGTTTCTTCCCCTAAAGCCAAGAGGCTAAGAGCACGCCTGCTCTCGTGGGCAGAACCCAAGAAACCCTTTGCACAAGTAGCAGTCTTGAGGCCCTGTGGAGGCTCCAAAACACAAAGGGAACAAAGGACTTACCAAAAAGACCTTCAGAATGATCCTGGCATGCTTCCTCAGTTCATACCTACATGGGCCCCCAATCAAGCCCCACCATGTTCATGAATCTGGAGTCTAATTCACACTGCTTACTCCCTCCCAACTCCCACTGCCCCAGAGCCATGGATGGGGAGATCAGCACAGGTGGCCTACAGCCCCATCCACCCCCACCACCAGAGTGACTCTTCCCAGACTAGCTAGAGAACTGTGAAGACAGTTTGTATCTCAGGGACAGGCCACTGATCCCAGTATGACACCCAAAAGGTCCCACAGTAACAAAGGATATGCACAGCAAAGGCAGGACTCACCAGCATGGGTTCCCCAATCTGCCCAGAATCTGCTGAGCTCCCCAGGCTCACACTCTGAGATCCACGAAGAGCAGAGGGCGGGGCATCACCAAGGCCTCGGAAGGGAGCCAGGCTCCAAAGAGGGGCCTGGACTGGGGCTAAGGGGGAACCCAGGACCTGGGCAACACAACACATCTTGTTACAAACCCCAGAAACCACGTGGCTCTCAGGGTGTTAGAGGCAGATATAAAAATAAAGCATCTAAATCCTGCCTGTTCAAATTTAAACCGCCTCCGCTTGGAGGCTGCTAATGAAACACAACATCCAGAAATACCATGTGCCAACTGGGTGAGACTCGCAGACCAGTTCCCTGATTCTGGTAACTTGTGTGCTAGTTCACATCTGGCAGATGCTAAGACTGGGGGCTCTGCTCCCCTTTCAGGAGCTATATAACAAGTTCACAGGATGGGGGAAGGGCAGAGATAAACCCCAGCTACTAGAGGTCCCTACAGTTGATGAAAAAGCAGTCTCAACATGTTAATGACAACGATGGACATACATACCAGAAGAAAGTGCAGGCCTCCTTGTAGGGCTGTGCACACTGGAGGCTGCTGTACATAAATATGTGCCTTGTCATCCTTTGACTTGCTTTCCCCTGTTCTCAGGAGATCCAAGTGAAGGTTACCTTCATGCCAGTGAGGACTGGATTCAAAATCCAGACCAGGTCAGAATGTGAGAACCCTCAGGCTACTCACAGCCTCCCACATTCCCAATTCCTTCATCTACAAATGAAGTGGGTCATGCTTGACCCTATGGGGTCTGCTGAGAAGCTCAACAAATGAGATGATAGACACTAGGGGCCTCTGTAAGGAGCCCAGGGCTATAGCGATATTATGGAATTGATCATCTGGCCTAACAAGTTAGAGGCCAGCATAGGGCCTGGAAAGATTGCATACTGGTTAAGAGAGTCTGATGCTCTTCAGAGGATCTGAGTTTATATAGTCCCAATAACCTACTTCAGGCCGCTCACATACAACTGCCTGCAACTCCAGTTCTAGACAATCTCTGACATCCTCTTCTGGCTTCCACAAGCACTTGTGCTCACATGAACATACGCACTGACACACTCACATGCACACAATTAAAAAAATAAAATCTTAAAAACACTGAGCGGCTGGAGAGCTGGCTCAGTGGTTAAGAGCACTGGTTTCTCTTCCAAAGGACAGGGTTCAATTCTCAGCACCCACGTGGCACCTCATAACTGTCTCTAACTCCAGTTCCAGATCTGACACCATCACACAAACATAGATGCAAGCAAAACACCAATGCACATGAAATAAAGTAAAAAAAAAAAAAACTTCAAAAAATAGATCAGCATAGCATACTAGGGACACATTACAACACTCTTCAAAACTTTTCTCAAATTTACCATATACATAAAACAAAAAGAATAGCCAAGCAGTGGTGATACATGCCTTTAGTCCCAGCACTCAGGAAGCACAGGCAGATACATCTCTGTGAGTTGGAGGCTACCCTTGTCTACAGAGTTAGTTAAAGGACAGCCAAGTCTACACAGAGAACCCCTATCTTAGAAAAAACAAAACAAAACAAAAACCAGAGAGCAACTCCACACTAACCCCCACGAAGGGGGGATCCAAGGTTAGAATCACCACCCTTTTGGACAATCTAGACCAGGCAAGTGTCAGCAGGGCCTATCTCTGTACTGAGAGGATACCTGAGTCTGCTGAGAAATGAGGTAAGATACTTCTTACCTCTGCAGATGGCCAATCATCTGACCTGCACAGAACATCTTTGTCAGGGAGAAGAGATACCAATACATAAAACTGGCCAGTGATGCTAAATACTAGGCCCTGCTCATTCTCACAAATCACCTAAGATGGGCTCTACCACTATGCAGAGACCCCACTTTCGCAAATGAAGGTGAGGTGTTGTCAAGAATCCTGTCCAAAGTTACAGGCTTAGTGGGGCAGAGTGGGGATTGAGTTTGGGATGATCTCAGAGAGAGAAAATGTTATACGCTCCTGTGACATGGTAGGAAGAAGTACAGACACTGAGCCTGCCCTGCCTGCTGAGCCCTTCCACTAGTCCAAGCATATCAGTAAGCAGAAGCCTTCCCACACTGTATTTATAGAAAATTACAGACTCCTAACATGGCTAATTTGCTAACGTGCTGGGGGCTTGAGGGAGGGAGACAGGCATGCTGAGGCCTTTGTTCTCTTGGGCCTTTACTGAATCGGTGGTTAGCAGGGAAATTATACACCCCTGGCTCCTAGCTGATCATGTTCTCTAGATGGCCATTAACTCTGAGCATGGGGCTGTGCATGCCATTGTCCTTCAGAACAGATAAACTTGATGCCATTGGGCTAATTAAAACTTTCAGGATAATCTGTGGCTTATCCGATATTTATAGTACTACACTAGTTATTAGAAGTAACGGAGAATCTGTAGGTGTCCACAATTAGGGACTAGAGGGAATGACTGGGTAAAGTCACAGCTGGGCCACAGAGTAACACCTAGGAAATTCAGATTGAGCCCTGTGGTCCATCCAATGTGATTTCTGAATGAAAAATGGGGTGACTCTTGCAAGAGTCAACGTGAAAGAATGACAAAGCAAGCACCGCCCTTTGGGAAATTCTGGTAGGGAAGTGAAGTCACAAACAGGGTCACACAACCTGACACAGGTTAGCCATGTTATTTTCTGGGAACCCTTGGGAGGCAAGGAGCAGAAGCAGCTGTCTGCATGGCAGCGGGCAGGCTGTGGGCTCGGTCCTTCTCGGGAATGCTAGTGCTGAGACTCTGGTGCTGTGTACCTCCAAGAAGGGAGCATGCAAAGCTTTGGGGACGAGTACCTGCTCTCAAGGACTGACTCTTCTCAAGAATCAAGACTTCCCAAATCCCAGAAAGTGCCTGGATTCTAGATAAGGGCCAACATCAGTACCACCTTGCCCACCCTCAGAAGATAATCACTTCAAAGCATGTGAACCACCCATGAGCATGGCTACACCTAGGGAAGAAGACCCACAGATACCCTCAGCTCTAGCCTGCAGGAGATAGAGCAGGACAAACTTGAAATCCAAGTCATCTCATCAGGTAGCCACATGGGTAGTTAAGGGCTCCTCAGTTTCTGAAGGTGGGTTAATGTCAAGGAAACAGACCGAAGGGTTTTTGAGCAACAGAAGTTCTACCTACTCCCTCCCTGATGAGCTCATGGGCCCCAGACCTCAGGCCCCACTTTCTAAGAAGCCTACCTGGTGGAGAAGCTGCATCTTGCTCGGCTCTGCAGCAAGCCCGGTGTCGGAACCCGGCTGGACCAGCCCCTGCCTGAGGCCACTGCTTAGCTGGCACTGTGCTGGCTGAGAGGCCTCCTGCCCGGCAGAGGCAGAGACCACTTCGGCAGAATGTTCCAGCAGCATTGGCCCCCAAGTCAGTAACCCCGAGTCCCTCTCCTGAGCTCTGACGGCCTTGTGTTCACCCTCACTAGACATCCTGGAAGACTCGGTGGCCATGCAACAGACCATGCCGGCGATGTCTTTGCACGGCACTTCCTGCATGTTCTCAGGCAGCTCCAGGCCCTCTGGCCGCCTGGAGATCTTGACCATCTGCAGGATGTGCTGGTAGAACCTCTGGTCCTCAGAGTAGTCCTCACTCTCTGACTGCTCCTCAGCAGAGCTCTGTACATGGGACAACTGGGGCACCAGGAAAGGGCAGAAATGCACATCTCTAGGCCCTGGGCCTGACTGACCCATCAAGGGAACACACCCCTGGGGGCTCTGTATGTCCCAGGGGAAGTTGTTTACCTCACCTAGGACCTGTGAGCCAAGGGGCGAGGCCAAGCTGCTGCCCCCTCCACTACTGCTATCCGAGTCAGCCCCGGCGACACTAGGCTTCCTGTCTTCATTGGGAGACTCTAGAGAGGCAGGTGGATGGTGCCTCCCTTCACTGGAAGGATCCCCTGGAGGGGGCTTGGTAACTGCTTCTGATGCCAAGGTATCAGGTGGCATCAGGGAGAGGCCCTGTGGTGAATCTTCGGCTAAGGCCTCTGGGACCTTGGAAGTAACAGGTTCCATTTCCTTGCAGCTCTCTGTGGTGTCCTTGTTGACAAGCTTGGAGACCTGTCCAATCCATAGTCCTTGAGTCTCTTTCCTCCACCTCCCCCTGCCAAGGTCCCCACCTTCCCCAGGAACTCCCTGCCAGCACAAGTCCTCTGCTGGGCTGCTCTCTAGTAAAAACAGCTTGCCTTTCCTGGCAGGCAGGGTGTGGTCAGATGAGCAAAGGGACAAGGAGGGCTCCTCCTCAGAGGATCTCAAGGGGATGGGGCTCTGACCTTTGTCCCCTCCAGGGCCAGTGCAGCTCAGAGTGGCTATGCCGGGACTGTGCTGCTCCCCTTTCAGCTGCAGGCCTTTGGAGGCTTCAGAAAGCTTAGCGTACATAGGAGTCTGGCTCCTGCATTCTAACCCTCCCTGCCCATTCTGGAGTGGCTCAGTGGGATGAGCACCCCCAAGGCCAGGTTTCTGCTGTCTGGTCCTCAATTCCAGCTTTTCTATTTCAGGGTCTGAAAATCCCAGGTAGAACTTCTCTGTTGCTTTCTGGGCTGACTCCAGACCCTGTGGGTCTCCTAACTCTGTCTTGCATTGGACCGGAGGCCTGCCTAAGATTTTCTCCACGTCAGCAAAGATCTGGTGGGTCCGAGGAGCTTGACCTTTGGAGAGTGGCTGCAGCTTGCCAGGAAGGCCACCCATGAGAGGCCACGGGGTGTCGCCCAGCATGCACAGGCTCCTCCCTTTCTTAAAGGAGGCCTCACTTCTAGCCTGCACCTCTTGGTCTAGGTCCAGATCAGCAAGCCCAGGTGCTGGGAGAGGGGACAGGCCTCGGAGGAAGGAGGAAGAAGGCAGAAGTCCCTGCTCAGGCTGTGTTTCCTAGATGGGTATATAAACATGCAAAGAAAACAAGGACTGACCTTCTCATGGATTCTTGCCACTTCAGTCCAAGACCCAGAGCAGAAAACCACCCTCTTTAAGACAAAGCATAAATAAGACAGAGAGAGAAGAGAGGCCAAAACTCCCCTAGGCTAAATATATGCCCCTTTCTAGGTTCTAGCTCCCTCTATAGAGAGGAAAACAACCACCACCACCATATTAACAGCCTATAAACCTTGCTCCATGGAGCCCTGGGAACTCAGTTCCTAAGGTGCTACCACGGTGTGAAGGCTACAATATGAGTGACAGGGAAGAGAACCACAGCCCCTGGGAAACCATAGTAGCCCTGTTTGTTCTGAAGCTGGCCTCTACAGAGCAGTCATACGAAGACTGTACTTTACCACTAGTCAAAGCCTGGAGACCACAGCTGGTCCCTAGGCTTCCTCTAGCCCTCAGGTTCATGACTGGTTAATTTTATAAAGCCTATCAAGTACTCCCAGAAATGTCCTATGAGGAAGAGAAGAGAGGAAGCCTGGGAAACTCAGTCCAGTGCCTTCTACCACCAGCACAAGTTGGCACTGCTTAAAAAACACCCAATCTCAGAATCTTAGGGCTACCAGAAAGCATTAAGATAATCAACTACCCTCTGCGAATATACTAACTAGTCAGCTGGGAGCATACATCTCTAGAGGGGCCAGACCACCTGAGCCTAGGGAGCCCATGAGCCTTGACCTGACCACTGGACAAACTCAAGATTGAGGTGCCTCGACTGAGCCCTAAGAATCCCACTGAGGGATCCTTTCCTGAAACTTCAGAGGAGCCCTTTCAAACAAGGAGCTTCTGGGACTCAAACATACATCCACAGCCAAGTCTGTCATCCAAGCCCACCTTAAGTCAGGCTGGAGCCTGCCAGATGCCAAAATACCATTTCAGATTATCCTGAGAGCGTCCACCTTCTGCTTTTCAAATGCATGATGATATTAGAAAATTCTAACATTCCATTTGGAAAGCACCTGTCTTCATTATTCCGTAGGAACAAGGCTTCTCGCCCTCTTTCTCAGAACTGTGCATAAAGCTGGGAGGAGGCAAGGGGGCACAGAGCAGCAACTGAACCTGAACGTGATAAAGGACTGAATGACTTAACAACTGCTCAAGGCTAGAACTGACACTTTAGGAAAGAGAAAAACGGGGCTGGAGATGTGGCTCATGGGTAGAACACCTGCCTAGCATGTGTATGGCCCGAGGAATTCTCAACATGGGGGTGGGAGGTGGAGTGCCAGGTGGGTCACAAAATCAAAAGGACAAAACAACTGGACCGTTGACAGTTGAAAGAGTCTTCTCAGTGCTCCCATAGTGCTCCCCACTGTACACCCCACAATGCTCCCCTCCGTGCTCTTCACAGGGTTGAACGGAACTGCTTCCTCAGGCTGCTAGCCCCATGCCTTCATGAAGGGGACAAAGTCTGTCCTGAACCACAGGCTCTCACTCAGCTCCTCCTGAAACAAGGTTGGTAACCTCCACCTCCTACCTAACATGCTGAACTTCAAATAAATACTCGGAAGAGTCCTCTGAACTCAGCACAGACGCTACTGAAGACCACACTAAGCGTGATCCAGTCTAACTGCTGCTACCCTCTGCTAGCCAAGGACGCTGGCCACAAAGACCACTGAGGGCATCAGCAAAGCCGATGGCATACATGTATCAGTTACAGGCTGACCTTAATATCGTGACCCTCCAGCCTCAGTCTTCCAAGTACTAGGACTGCAAGCAGGCATGCGCCACCAAGCTCAGCTTTTCTTTTAAAACCTGAAGGCACCGATATTCTGACAATTCCACTGTTCTTACCTCCCCAGAGTGGGGGACAGTGCCACTTCTTCATCAAATGCAAACACGGTCCTGGCTCTGCTGAGCTCACACTGGCACTAACCCTGCCGTGCAACATGTGCTCCCCAAGGAGAGAGGAGAAATTACTTAAAGAAGTAACAACCGCTAGAAGGTGAAAGAAAAAAATCCACCAGGTAAAATTAGACAATGTCCTGTCAAGAACTCACTATTATTTGAACTCCTGGAGGGTCCCCATACCCCTTGGGCTGGAGCCCTATGTAGGAAGTGGCCTCAAGTCTGACTCACCAGAGGACTTTTGGAGGTTTCTTTGTCCTTCTTGTTTTTCTTTTCCTTTTTCTTTTTCTTGTCTTTCTTCTTAATGGCCCCGGGAGCCAACCACTTCTCCCGCTCTTGGATCACCAGCTTCCGATAATGCTCATCACATGGATGGTCCCAAATAGACTGCCCAGTGTCAAAGTTGAAATAGTAAAGGTCTCCCGTGATGTTCTGGCTAGGAGGGAGCAGAGTTCAGAGGTTAGTCCCTTCTAAGGTCCAGCAAAAACATAATTCTTTAAAAAGAGAACAAATGTTGAAATACATAAAATCACAGCAAAGGATAGTTATTTCTTAAAGTGTGCTAAACATCAAGTTTGACACTGAAGGATAAACAAATAAGGAATTGAAAAATAAACCTAGGAAATTATCCAGAACACAACATGGAAGATAAGATGGTATTTTTAAATATGAGAAATAAGTTAGACATGGAAGATAAAATACGAACACTCAATGCTACAAGAGCAGCTTTCTTTTTTTTTTTCCTTTCTTTCTACATTTTATTTTATTTTTTAACACAAGCAACAAACTTCTCAAAGATTACTCAAGGAAAAGAAATACCTAAAAAATAAACTAATTGATTTTTTTTTTTTTTTTAAATGGGGCTGGAGAGATGGATTAACAAGAGCACTGGCTGCTCTTCCAGAGGACCAGGTCTGATTCCAGCACCTACCTATTTTGACCTCTATATGCAAAAAAAAAAAAAAAACCACACACACACACACAAAAAAAAAAAAAAAAAAACCATAAAATAAAATATAAATAAACAAACTACCAAAACTCATTCACAAAGAATTAACCAGGGCTGGGGATATAGCTGAGTTGGTAGAATGCTTGCCTAGAATGCTAGAAGCCTACGGTTCAAACCCCCATACCACATAACCATCAACCTATCAACATAATAATATAAAGTTATTAAACTGGAGCTGGAGAAGTAAGTTAAGAGCACTTGCCACCCTTGCAGAAGATCAGGGCTCAATTCCTAGCACTCTTGACACCCTCTCCTGACCTTCTCAGGCACCTGCATTCATGCTGTACAAACAGACAAGCAAGCACACACATATGCACATAAATAATCTTTAATACGTTTGTATCTATGCACAGCATTTGAATGGGTACTTCCTGCTCTGAGACAGCATAAGTGCCCCACCCCTCTAATCTCAGCACTCAGCGGGTAGAACTTGGAGGACCTAAAGTTTCAACTTGAGGCCAGCCTAGTTTACAAAGTCAGTCCTGGGCTACATAGAGGGGCTCTGTCTCAAAGGACAAAGCAAAGCAAAGAACTGGCCTGAATATTCTGTATCTCATGGGGGCAAGGATGAGAAAGGGTTTCATTAAGGAATCCTAGCCGGACTAGAACTAACTATGTAGACCAGTCTGGGCTGGCCTTGAACTTACAGCAACCCTCCTGCCTTTGCTTTTGCATTTGTATACTTATCCATACATAGCCTTCTCTTTTTAGAACTGAATTTGAAGTTAAAACTTTTCCCACAAAGAAGATTCTAGGCCCAGATGATTACAAATATTTAAAGCAGAAATGACAGCAATCCTACACAAACTTGTCCACAAACCTGAAGAGGAAGAAATTTTCATTCTATGAGGACAATAACATGGCACAAAACAAGATAAAGACATTAGAAGAAAATGATACTATAGATCTGTTTCCCCCATGGACACAGACGCAATAACACTTCATGCAATTTAGAAGATCAAATATAAAGAGGATCATACATCATGACCAAGTATATCCCAGGAATATGAAATTTGGTTTAACGTTTGAAAATCGGGTCAGAAAGATGGCTCAGCTTGTGAAGGTGTTTATGGCCAAGCCTGAGGACCTGAGTTCCCTTCCAGGATCCCATATGGTGAAAGGATAGGACCAACTCCCATAAGCTGTCCTCTGACATCCAAACTTACAAGTGCTGTGACATGCCCACACCCACACACACAAATAATAAATAAATGCAACTAAAATTGATAAAAATATTTGAAAAAAATCAATAAATTTGGCTATAAGAAAAGACAAAAAAAGAAAGCCACCTAATCTTTTTCAATCTTATGTAGAAACACACTGGGTAAAACTCATCCATCTTTCTTCAAAGTCCCAGCAACAGCACAAACTCTCCTGACAAATGTCATCCACAGGAAGCCCACAGCTAGCAGCTGCCCACAGCTAGCAGCTGCCTAATGGTGACCAAAAGTTGCACCCTAAGATCAGGAACAAAGGAAAGACATCCTCCAGCATTGCCTCTACTTAATGATGCTAAAGGCTCTGGTCACCAACGTACAAAATAGAAAGAAAAGGCAACCAAATTAGAAAGGAGGAGGCAAAAATACTTTTATTCCTAGGAGACACAATCACTTCTGTAGAAAATCCTATGGAATCTTAAAAAAAGAAAAAAAAAACAAAACAAATAAAGCTACTAGGCCTGACATAATTGATTTTAGCAAGGTTGTACAGTGCAAGATCAATATACAGAAACCAATTTTACTTCTCTATAAAACCAGCCAACAATTGGAAACTAAAAATACAGCACTTATAGAAGCATCAAATATGAACTACTTAGGGATAAATCTGATAAAGAGGCAACACATGTACACAAAAGTTATTAAACATTTCTTAGAGATATTAAAGGAAACCTAAATAAATGGAAACAGACCATGTTCATGGGCTGGAAGACTCAATATCACTTAAGATGCCTATTCTCCCCAAATTGATTTATGTGCAGTCCCAATCCAAACAGTAAAGTGACAAGATAATGTTCAAATTCCCATGGCAATGCAAAGAACTGAGAGACTTTGAGCATGAGGACAAGGACTTGGAGCAGTGGTTAGGAATTAAGAACCCCGGTGCTCTTGCAGAGGACCTGAGTACAATTCCCAGCATGAGACTCACAGCCATCATTAACTCTAGTTACAAGGGATCCAAATCCCTCTTCTGGCTTCTAGGGCACCAAGCATGCATGTGACACACAGACATACATACATGCATGCAAAATACCCACGGACATTAAAATAATTAATAATAACACTAAAAAGAAAATGGGAACAAAGTTGGAATACCTACCCTAAAAAATTTCAAGACTTATTATAAAGCCGGGTGATCAAGAGAAAACAGCACAAAACATGAGTACATCAATGATAGGCATCAGGGAATACTGATTTTTTTTTTTTCCAGTGTCTATGGGTGTTTTGTCTGTATGTTTGTCTGTGAACCACATTTGTGACTGGTGCCCTTGGAGACCAGAGGAAAACATGTAACTAGAGTTAAAGACTATTGCAAGTCACCAAGTGGATGCTGGGAATTAAACCCAAGTCCTTTTAAAGAGCAGCCAGTGCATTTAACCACCTTGACACAGCTCTAGTCCCAGAAACAGGCTCTCTTATGCGTGGTTAGTCTCAAAAAACATCTAAATGTTCTTTAGTATAAAAGTTAAATTTGGGGGTTTTGTTTGTTTGTTCTTGTTTTTTGTTTTTTGTTTTGGGGGTGGAATGTGGTACACCTGCAGTGGGGACGTAGTTCAGTTATAGAGTGCTTTGGTAGCATACACAAGGTTCTATGTTCCAGACTCATTAACACACATACACATAAAATGTGTTATGTCTAACATGGGAAAGTATACACCTGAAACATCAACTTGCCACAACCTAGAATCACCCAGGAATAGTCTCAATTGAGGAATTTTCTTTATCTGGTTGGGCAATGAACATGTCTGTGGGGGACAGCCCCTCGTGAGTATCAGTACCTGATTTGGGCTTTGGGTTGTATAAGAGTACAGAAGAGTAGAATGTGGTAGGGCATGTCTTTACTCCCAGCACTCCAGAGACACAGGCTGGGAGTTCAAGGCCAGACTGGTATGCACAGTGAGTTCTAGACCACCCAGAATTACACATTGAGACCCTATCTCAAAGCAAACAACAGGAGAGAAAATGGCTGGTTATCGAGCCATACAGGCACATCAGTTTCTCTCTGTGCTTGACCACGGATATGATGTGACCAGCTGCCTCAAGCTCTTTTGCCTCTGAACTTCTCAACACGTTGGACTGTGAACTAGCACTGTGAACTAAAGTAAACCCTCCCTTCCCTAAGTTGCTTTTGGCTAAGGTGTTTTATCACAACAACAAAAATGAAACTGTAACAGGCAGGTAAGACAAGTGTGGTGGCCCATGCCTATCATCCCAACATTCAGGAGGCTGGGGAGGGAGGATCATAAGTTCACAGCCAGCTTAGGCTACACAGTAAAACCTTGTCTTAAAAAGCCACCGGGTATAGTGGTGCACACCTGTTATCCCAGCACATGCAAAAGGATCAGGAGTTATGGGCCATCCTCGGCTACAGCATAAGATGAAGGCCAGCCTGAGACTCATGAGACCTTATCTCAGAAGATTAAAAAAGAGAGAGAGAGAGAGAGAGAGGTACACACCTGTAATCCAAGTACTCAGAGGACTGAGGCAGAAGGATCACAAATTTAAGGCCATCCTAAGCTACATAACAAGACTGTCTCAAAAGAAAAAAGAAATGAGATAGACCTACACATTATACTGACAGAACAGTGCACACAATGTAACAGTTATGATTAAAACAATAAAACCACAAATGGAGTGTGCTATGTGTGCTAAAAGTTCTAGAAGGACAGTAATTAGGCTTGGGGAAGAGAATGGGGTAAAAGAAAACATGTACAAGTAACTTTTAATGACTTATGTTATTTTAGAAAATGAAAAATAGAGCCAGGTGTTGGTGGCGCACGCCTTTAGTCCCAGCACTCGGGAGGCAGAGGCAGGAGGATCTCTGAGAGTTTGAGGCCAGCCTGATCTACAGAGCGAGTTCCAGGAGAGGCTCCAAAGCTACACAGAGAAACCCTGTCTCGAAAAACCAGAAAAAGAAAATGAAAATCATGTTCTCCCTGTAGGACAAGAGAGTGTCAACCACACTAGCAGGTACATGAAGGCAGCTGAAACAAGGCCTTGCCCACAGCTGGCCCTAAACCAGACAGTTCCCCACCCTCCATCAGAAAGGGCACTGGGGCAGAACAGAAAGTGCTAGCTTTCCAATGCACGCCTGAGTTCTCGGCACCAGGAACACTGTCGGAAGCGCTAACAGATTTCCCAGAAGAAAGATGTGAACCTGGATATGGTCCAAGGAGAGGCTGCTAAAAGATCAACAGAACAAGGAGCCTG